TTATTATTATTATTATGGAGCAGATTTCTATGATTTGTACTGCAGAATTTTTGCCTATTGCTTCTGGGCATAACTAAGTGAAATTTCTTGACATTTAGTTAGAATTGGATGCTGTATAGATTAATATGTTGGTGCATATTCAATTGCAATTGCAGGCGTATATTTTGTTAAAATGGAGACTTATCTCAAAATTGTTTCATCTTTTCATTGAATCTATTTCTTTGTGAGCGTTCATTGTTAGCTGGTAACTGTTTCTTTTCTTTCTTTACTTTCTGTCGATGATAAAACACTTGAGCCAAAGTAGGATATTTCTTGACATATTTTTTACTCTAAGTAGAAGAAATACAAGACTTACAATGTACTTCACTAGGGTGAACATTTACTTCTATTATTTCTCCTGCAAAGTATGCAATTTCTCCTGCAAAGTGGATATAAAATATGCACATGAGGCTGATCTAATTCTTCTGAAGGACCCACCATATGAATGCGTACTATCTCTGTCTTAATATGTACTTAAGTAGAATAGAGAAGGTATTGTTATGCTCCGTCAAATCGGCGATCCTCCACCCGTAAAAAGCGGATTGCGGGACCCTGGTATTGAAAAAGTTTATAAATCTTTCTCCTATAGTAAATTACTTCCTGTAAAGAGTAAATTACTTCCTGTAGTCAGAATCCACGTTTTATTCGTTCTTTATATTGAAGGCAAAACGGCTTGTCTGTCCGTCAATCAGTAGTCAACGATTACGCCTTAACAGTTCAGACAATTTTCTCCAAGATTGATATTCCACTATCAATCTGGGCAAACTCAAAGACCTGCGTGATTGGAACGGATATTTTGATTTTTTGAGGTACTTTACATGAAGCCTCAAAATTTTGGCGAATATTGCTCCAAGTGTTTTTTCTTCTCTCGTATACGTACGTTTGTACGGAGATACGTAATACAGAGAATTTTATGGACGGTAATGCTGCCCAAAATCGATTTCGAGATTTCAACGAAAATACACGTTTTGGGGTCCCCTGATACCAAAAAACGTTTTTTCCAAAACGTCCGTTCATCTGCGAATAACACTAGTACCTAAACTAAGCGTAGAACATCTCAAATCTTAACAAAAAGCTCACCAAATCTTGCTATGTCCTATACACCCTCAGGTCAAGCTCCTACATTGAGACACTTCGAACAATGTATTTTGCAAATGTGCATTCACACCTAAAATATGGAATAATATTCTGGGAAAATGCCCCTAAAAGTACTCACACATTTATTATCCAAAAAAGAATACTGCGAACAATACTACTCATAAGCTGGAGTCTTGCAAACCCTTGATCAATACACTAAGGATTTTTCCTCCACCATGCATGTATATATTTGAAATAGTGATCTTCACAAAGAAGATTCTCATGGAAAATGAAGACACTCTTACTCTACAGAACTACAACACTGATCGAAGGATAACTTACATATTCTCCACTCTGAAACTACACTTTATCAAAAAAATACCCTAATAGAGGGCATTACACTTTTCAACAAACTAGGGAATGATATTAAAGACTACTAAACACAATTCATACATTTAAAAGTAAATAATAATAATAATAATAATAATAATAATAATAATAATAATAATAATAATGTGTATTATAAGGGAACTTCAAAATGTTTTAGTTAAATTCAAATTTGGAAATTCAAAATGTAATGTGTCATACTATTATAGATTTTGTAAAATGTTGCAGGCTACATTCAGCTCATGCTGCGATACGATTTTCTTCGCTTTAATGATTTCCGAACATAATTTTGCTTGAAAGTTTCGTGACGAGTAAAAATTAATAGTTACTGAAAAATATTATGGGGGGGGTCTGCGCTTGGTGGGTAACGTGAAATTCGTGCTAGCTCAGATTTACTGAATTCGAATCCGTAAGCGGTGAAAAAACTTTTGTAACTTGGCCGTTACAAACAACCGTATGTATTAAAAATAATAATATATTAGTCACAATGCACAATGCAGGTACTTCTAACCAAATAGTAAAGATCAAATACTATTTGGTTATAGCATCACTAATTTCTTTAGTGTTCCAGAATGGCTTTGTCATTTTCTCTTTTATTTGTAACTTACGGACATCTTGCCATGAAAACGCTGTAACGAAAATGGTTTAATTCTTTAAGGGGATATTTTGTTGTTATTTTCTAAAGTATTAATGAGATACAAATGCTATAATTGTTTTAGTATCAGGCGACTGTATGAAAATGGAAATAAATGACTCTTACTATCAAAATGACTTTGTAAAATTGCAAATTAATTCAAAATGATATATTAATGGATTATAATTAGACAAAAAAATATAGCTATATATCAAATAACCAGGCTGAGACATGACTTTTGAAAATATCATTGTAATTTTGAATAACATTTCTCGCTAAAAGTGCCTGCTTCGGCGAATATATATAAGTTTGGCTGATAATGGTGATCTGGCACAATTTCATTCAGTTCTTATGCTGGGAAAATTGGTTTCAAATCTGAAATTTGATTCCATTATTCGTATAAATAGAAAAACGTTCAGTCTGATAGCGTACATGCATGCGTAGTATCAAAAAAGGGCAACTCAAAACTAATTACAACTTTTGCGAACATCAACAATATTTACTCATAATTCCGAAGTTAAAGTGATAAAAGCTGGCCATTTAACGCTTCAACGGTGTACGCAAATCATGCGATCAGGATACCACTTTGTATTCTACGTTTTGTAGCGTTCATTTAATTATCATTTATCTGAAGAGATTTGTCATATCTGCATTTCAACGTAAGACATTATGGGAGGGGATTTTGAAATTCGTATTTTGTACTTCGCCCCGAGCCTTCGTTCGATTTCACTCAGTCTCTGACAGTTCCCCAGCCGTCTCTCGTAATAACAGTCCGCTGCCGCGTCCTCTCTTACCGCTCTCTCCTGTGGTTTTCAGTAGTTCAGGGTCGAAGGGAAACAGGTCGAATGGCTTTTTGGGCGTTGTGCGGACATTGACTGGATTTGTATTTGAAAAGGTTTCATTACTCTTGGATTATTAGACAATAAAGCCACCCTGCTGCGTCATGGAATTCACCGATGTGGGTGCATGCTTGCAAGATTTTAATGACCTTGCCAAAGACTACAAAGTTTTAGAGGTGAGTGTGATGACTCGTTTGAAACTGTTTTGACCCAGTGGCTAGTTCCGTGGTCGCATTTTTTGGGTCATTTAATTAAAGTTGATACTTTTATTCGCACGCATTTGTTTAATACATAACGTGGCTACATTTATTTAAAGTAATGATAGTTTCAACATTTTATTTTGTTGAAATTTTTTAACCTTTCTTAGTCTTGTAATCAAAATTAAATATTTTCAGGATCTTAACCGAGAGTACCTGGCGAAACTAGAACAAGTAGGAGATCTTCAGGCAAAATGCATGAAAGAAATAAATCATCAAAGATACCGCCTTGGGATTATTGGTCGCTCTATAAAAAAGTAAGCTGTGATCTATTCTACAAAAAAGAAAAAGTGCCCCTTCTGAGAACTTAAATATTTGTTTTTTTGTGAACAGTTTTAATTGTAGAGTTGTAAAGAATGTATTAATGTAAGATGTGCAAGCTGTTATGAATTGTTCTGGACAACAATCTTGTGATTCCATGTTTTTTCAGATTGTCAAAAGGAAACGAAGCAAGTAATAAAACAATAATGGATCTTGAGAAGGATATGATACGAAGGAAAGCTCAACTTCATGAAATGGAGCAAACCTTGCCAAAACAAAATGGACTGTATTTGAAGATTATACTGGGAAATGTTAATGTATCAATACTGAATAAAAATGATAAGTATGTTAAATACTTCATGAATTTTAAAATCTTGAATTGTAACATGTATATTAAATTTTTTTAACCTCTTCTTTTACTAGTATTACATTTAACCTCTACTTACTTTTTCAGGTTCCGATACAAGGATGAATATGAAAAATTCAAACTAGTTTTGAGTGTAATTGGTTTTGTATTATCCGTTATTAACCTTACTACAAATTTTCGGTTAGTGTCTTGGAGTTGATGAAAATTAAGAAGTGCCATGTTTAAAAGTGTGTAAATTGCAATTAAATTTTTTTTCAGCACTTTGGAACTGAGTTTTATGTTTCTGTTGGTGTGGTATTATTGCACTTTAACCATCCGAGAAAGTATTTTGAAAGTAAATGGGTCTCGTATAAAAGGATGGTGGAGACTTCATCATTTTATTTCAACTGTAGTAGCTGCTATTCTTTTAATTTGGCCCAATAATGGTGCATGGTATGAATTTCGGACACAGTTCATGTGGTTTAATGTATATATTAGTAAGTAAATATGTACATTTTAGTGCTTAAAAATACTGCAGAATTTGAGTCTTCTGAAAATCATTAATATTAAATATTTGCAGGTGTTGTACAATATCTCCAATTCCGGTATCAACAAGGAGTTCTTTATCGGCTAAAAGCTTTGGGAGAACGCCACACTATGGACATCACTATTGAAGGATTTCATTCTTGGATGTGGCGGGGACTGAGCTTTTTGTTGCCATTCCTTTTCCTTGGTTATCTTTTCCAGCTGTACAATGCGTATGTTTTGTATCATCTTAGCTATCATCCAGAGGCTACTTGGCAGGTGAGTTGCACAAACATGACATGTATTTGTTGATGTTTTAGTTACCTTTCAAATATCTACACATCAGTTGCAGAGAGTTGATTAAGGATGAATAAATGAACTTGTACCATAAAAAAGAGATGTTTGTACATCGGTTCAGTTCCATGTGGACATGTTATGTTTCTAAATGTTCTAGATATAAAGAAATTAAGTTTGTAAGGCCAAATTAATTAGAGAGCAAAACAATAATGCGAGAAATGTTGCTATATTGAAAAAAAATTAGCAAAACTGCCAAGGTGTTTTAGTGATGTTTCTCATGGAGGAGGAAGAAAACAATTAGTAGTTGGTTTTAAGGTTATAGATTTTAATGGATTGGATAATCAAAATGTGTATATTAATAACTTGGTTAACTGAGCAATTTAATTTGAGTCTCTAATCTCCTCCTTTGAATAAATTTTTATTTCCAATGCAGCGATTTGTGCCTGGAACCATCATTTATCGAAAGTTAGATGAATGAACTTTGTAAGGAAAAACTAACTTTTAAACAAACGCAATGCAATGCTGCATTGTTTAATTCCTTTTGTAATTCAGTTCAGTATTTTTCAGAAAATACAGGTCATAAATTGTATTGTTGATATTATAAACTTTTTCATGTTATCTGCATTGACTTCATTGTATAAGACATTATTAAGATACAAAATTGTTCAGAAGTTAATAGTGATTGTGACTTTCAGGTTCCTGCACTTTCATTTTCATTTTTTGTGTTATTCCTTGGAAACACAGTTACAACAGTGATGGTTGTTCCTCAGAAATTTCAACAGGTTAAATTCCATTATCAATTTATGTCATGGGGAAGCAAATCTCAACATTCATCTCCTAATAATAAAGTGAGTATTAAATTATTATTGGCTATTATTGAGTAATATAAGATACTCTAAACAAATTTAAAGAACTCGTCTCTTCGCTGATTATGATAACATCATTTTTTGGGGATGTGGTTACACTATCAATGTTAAACTTTGTAGAATCTATTTAGGAAGTACGTTTTGAAGACCACAACTTTGAAATTTTTCCTAAATTTTTAAAATTTTACAAATTGATTTATTTTTTCCCAATATTGAAGTGTAATGTTTTCATTTTGAGTGAACTCTATCCTACAAGAAGGGGTTTCAATGCTTGTTCTTTGTGTCTTATGGCATTCATATGTAATATAAATCTCTTCACATAATATGTTGAAAATGTTTGTTTATGTACTGTTGCTTTTGTTGCAAATTGCTAGAAACATTTTAATTATAGGTAATTACAATTTTTTACTAGCATTTTATGTATTAATGCACTGTAAATATGTGAAAATTTCTGTGCATATCTTTGTGATCAAGATGATGGTCTGTTTACTTTTATAAATGTACAGTAAAATTAAATGAAGTTCAGGTTCATCTATTAACCGACAGCAGACACATACCAACAGGAATTGGATCTAGAGTTGGAATCTTTCAAGAGGTGTAAATCACTTTTTAACTTACTAGGAACTGTGTGGAGAGAGGGTTGATAATAAGTGCTGAAACAAACTAGTCTGTTGTGTGATAAATTGACGAACTTTCATTTCCCAGCTGGGTAATTTTAGGTCATGCAATTGTCACGACCTGGTAAATTAGATCTCAATCGGGTGGAAGGAAGGCCAAATTTCTGACATGAATGCATATATTGTCATTTCTGACATGGACTTAAATGGATGCATATATAGTATATAAGGAGGTAGATTGGACATCACAAATCATATAATGGGCTTGGCAGTAAACTATTATGTACCAACAGTGTATTATTCACTTTTGTAATATCTTCATTTATCTACTTTCTTAATAATATTGAATGACTTATTTAGTCTTTAATTTCTTCTTCTTCTTGTATTAGAATAATTATAAATTTTAACAACAATGCATTTGTTCTGCCTCATTGTATATCTTGAATCGTTTTTAGATTGATATAGCTGTGGATTCAGTATAGGAGGATGGCAAATGCAATGCAGGAAACATATGACTCATTATACAAGTGACCCATGGCTATACACAACAATAGACATCATCCCAATGTAACCAAAATTTAAAAAAAATATAAAACACATTAATATACCAATATATCCATGCATGCATGTGTGTGTGTGTGTGTGTGTGTGTGTATGTATGTATGTGTCATATATATACATCATAGACATACCTGCACAAGAATTAAATATAGATTATTAGTATTACATTTTCTGTTCTATAAGTTCTCTTAATTTATATTCACAGATGAGTGGAAAAACAGAAGAGACTGAAAATGCCAAGAGCAAATCTAATAAAGATAAAGAACCAAAAAAGACAGACTGAGTATCTGCATGTGCACCATAGGTGCCTAGGGAATGCAGGAAAATATAAATTATGTTAATGTCATTAACTGTATTGAGTGAATTGTGAATCGCAAATTTCCTCTTTGCTATATGTAAATATTGTACCTCGGAAGAATACATTAATAAAATAAGTGTTTTCAAATTTGTATATATTGTTTGTATGTTGTGAACTTCAAACAAACTTGTGAATGAATGCAAGTTTTACTGGCTTTCTGCACATATCACAATTTGGTAGACATTTTTGAGTAAGAAGATGACTGTTGATGTTTTAGGTCTTAAATTTGGGTTACCTTAGTAGATGAAAATTTTTCTTGAAATGCAGATTTAATGAAAACAAACTGTCTGTGACAAATATTGGAAATACAAAGTCTTAAGAAAACCTTGTGAGAAGGGAAATTCTGAGAAGAAAATAATTACATTAACAAAAATGTTATAATATATAAAAATTGTGTTGTAGACTAGCTTTGTCCATTAGAATATTGCAAAGATTTGTCAGAATGACAGTTAAAATACTACAAGGGAAATTAATGATGAATGTTTCCCATCTATATTTCAGAGCTACCTATCCCGCTGAAGAACCATATTTTTCCATTACAGCCGATAGTATTACTTTGATTTATTTTAATGAAATTACAACACACAGAGAATATCAAAATAGAGAGAATGTATATAAATAGGTTACATTTCTGGTCTCATCAGGGCCCTTTTTTTTATTAAATATTTTTTTAGCATAATGTAATTTTTCTAACTTAAATATAAATAAAAGGAAATGTGTGTCACACATACAAATCTATTCAATCAATTTCAGTGAAATTTTCAGATTTTGTTCTTATTAGTAGTGGGAGTGTTTAAAGAGTGATTTGAATAAAATTTGACAAGTGGGGGCATTGTTATCGATTTATTCAGGTATGACAGACTTGTGCGCCCCTGAACTCTTCACTGCTTACAAGTATTCTGGCCATGCAATTGTGAATTATCAGGAGTAATTATTAATTGAATCTTGGACAAAATCAAATTTCTCCAAGATAAGTGATGCAGCGAATGCATGCTCAAAATTTAGGGAGAACTTGTTAACAAGAGGATACTTGATGACCATGTCCCAAACAGGACATAGGACAAACTAACACTTAGGAGAAAGTTATTCTTCTGTGCAAATTTTTGCACAACGTAGTGTGATTAACAATCTCATGCCCATTAGTGTGTAATGTATAATACATTGCAATAGCTAAGCATTGCTGAGTCTACTAGTAAACAATAATAATTTTAGTGATAGAATTGATTTTATGTTGAACCATTTACAGGATGTCCAGATGGTTTTGGAGTGCTTTTCCAAATGTCTTGTATCAATTCCCCAAAGTAACTGCTAAAAAACAGGTATTGATATTTATGGGAAAATTTTCTCAGGTTAAATTACCAGTAAATTTTTTTTTTTTTAAATTTTCAAGTCATGACCTCTTCCCCTTCCTCTCTCTCTCCCCCCTCTGCCCAAGCATGTACAAATGCACATACAGATTTTAATACTATAATTTACTGCTTTGAATTTTTGTTTCATAATCTATGTAGTTTTTACCATCTTCATTCCAAGGGGAGTGGTACTCGAAAAATTGGGGGATCTACCCTAATTTAAAATTGGGCTAAATGTATGACACGGTCAAAACTATTCGCAGTATGCCTGCAAAACTTGTTCCAGCCAGTGTGAGATGAGCACGAGCATTCATGAGTGTTGTTTGTGATTTTACAACTAGATTATGTAGAAATATAACTTGATCAAGGGAAGAATGAAGGAGGCAATTGCGTAGTTTTGTGGAACTAAGTGTAAACACTTCGGCTGAAAATACAGACTGTGGCACGCTCTTGTAAACATCTTTCTCAACTTAGTTGGGATATAATAATTTATTAGATTCTATTAAAGAAGACCTATCATGTGTAAACACACTATCATCCCTTTGGTAAAGGGCTTCATACTCACAATACACACTCTTTTTACAAATACTGGCCTTCAAAATACAAAATCAATAACGGAAGCTGGAATTACACGTTCTCCTACATCAAAGCAAAATCAACTTGAAGCAGGAAATTTTGGAGAAAAGGAAAAAAGTCCAAAAGATTTCGTATCCTCCCATCGTTTTTTGCTGTATCATCATAAACTGCAGGTTGCTAGGCCTGTTTCCCAATAGATCAGGAGGCTTACACCTCCAGGTGTTCCTGATCTAGCCATTTTTGTGGTCTTCCCTTTGTCTAATTGGTTTGTACTTCAACACTTCTTTTGGGTATCTTTCTTGTTTTTATTCTCAATATGAGAGAGCCATTATCTCTGTCCATAGTTTATTTCTTCTACTATATGATTAGTCCTAAACCTGTTTCTGTTGTCTTTACTCCTTTGCCTACCCTTTAGTGTCACTCCAGCAAGATGACAGGAATCTCATTTGCATTGCATCTAGTCTTTGTTGCTCGCTACTTTTCATTCTCCAGACTTCTGACCCGTACATGAGGATTGCTTTAGATATATTGTGGATTCTTAGTTTTGTCTCTGTAGTCACATTTCTTCCAAAGTGACTTTTGATTAATCCATTGACCCTGTTGTATTTCTGAAATTTGTTTCCCAATCTCTGTCCAATGAGGTTGCCCAAATAATTGAATTTAGCTAGAATTGTTTTTTTTTCTGATATTTATTCCATTACTTATAATTTACTTAATTTTTGCTGTATCCAAACTTAATTAACTTTTATTGGAAAAAAAAGCAATAATAAAAGCTAAAAATGTGTCAAATGAATTGTATAGAGAAATAAAATATTTGCAAAAGTTCACATAATAATTCTGTTAATTAACTCTTTATTACATTATTTTGTAGCATCAACATAAATATGTAAGGCATTCAAAATCATAATTGTAGAGACAAAATGTTTCTTACTAATACAAGTATTTCCTATTTGTTTATAAACTTCTCAAAACTTTTATTTTGAATACTTGTCTTGCACTACAGGATGAAAGGTCCAAGGCTATTTCCAGTCAACCAGTAGACTTGAATTATATAGCAAAAGTGATCGACTTCTACAAAATTAGGTCGCGAAACATACCATAAATTATTAATTGATGGAAATAGTTATTTATCCATATAATTTAATAATAATAATAATATAATAATAATAATAATAAAAGTAGCAATGATGGTAGTATTTATCCTTAACAGTAGACTTCCTATATGCTAATAAACCTGTGTAATAGTAAATAATCAATATTATTTGTAAATTTTAAATTAATTTAGCCTATACAATTTGTATTGTTTATTTTACTAATAATTTTATTACATACATAGAAATGATATAATTAAGTGGAAATTTATTTAACTTTGTGTTCTTGAGAACTGAACTGAAAAAATGTCACCAAGTATTTGTTCTGTGCTTTTTGTACCTCTTATCTATAATGTTCTGAAGGCACTGAAATGGCGTTCCAGTGTGTTCTGTCAGAAGCCCAATACATTAGTATACTTACCCTATTATTGATTAAGCCTCCTTAGCCTGCATAAGTTAAGCCAGGTCAATTCTGAAGTGATTATTGAAAACTATCTTCATTTAATTTATTAATGTAGGGGCAGTGTATTGAAAAATGGTCAGGCACTCCTACAAGAGTCATTGTTCATTGAGAATTTTCTATACATCCTATGGTAGCTTTTATGCCTTCAGGTATTGTAATATTGAGTTTCCTTGTTTGGAATTATTTTTCATTAGTAGAAATACTCCTTTTTAAATTTTTTTTTATAGAAATACTTCAATGTTTATGATTTAAATAAATATACATTAAATAAAGTATTATAGCCCAAGCCATGTCTCTCTTTCATATTGAATGGCCAGGTATAAGAATGACATAATACATAGATACAATCAATTTTCTCAGATATTACTTAAAGCTTTTACAGAAAGGAGACTGAATTTACTTTTTTAACATATCAGTCGGTCCAGTTATTACAACTTTGCTTGCTAGTGAGTGTAATATGACCCTGGCACGATCTTCTCTAGACAACTGCAAGAAAGGCTAGATCAATGTAATCCAGGCTGCTGCTGATGATTGATGTAATATAATCACATGGTAAATTAGATTTTGTTAAACGTAAATTCCTTGAAGTTAGTACTTGGTGCTTATATCAATACTTGTATTGTTATTAGTTTTGTTTGTTATTAAGATAAACAAAACATACATGATACAATTTATTAATTAAGTTGTTGTAGTTAAGATATGAATTTATTTCATTTTTTTTCAATGGCCTTACTTTTTATTGCTACTAAAGTTTGAGTTGTATTATCTACATACAAGATTAGTTAATATGTGACAATGAAACTATATTTATATATTATAGGAATAACGAAACATTCAATAAAAATACCTGTGGAACTCCAGATGACGCTACTGAAGATTTAAATGTATTCTTATCGATTCCAATTGATTTTCAAGTTACGTTTTAAATGTTAGGTACAAAATGTCATCCTAAAGTTTTGGTTAATGATACGTATCTGAGGGCTTAATATAATCTAAAATAATTTCAGTAAGATCACATATTATTACTAAAACATCACAGAAACAGTAGTATTCCGCAAGTACTTTTCTAACATCAGAATATTTTCGAACAAAATAATCCCATCACTGTACTCCAGTGACTACCAATCTCAAGGTTTTGTCTAGTATGCATCTGAGTGCAATTTCAAAGGAAATATCAAATCATAGACATTTATTTTTCTCTTTCTAAAATGAGAGTACTTGTTTGACACATCTAATTACGAAGAGATGAAAAATACCAAAATTAACATGTAAATTAATTCTTGATTGTTAAAGGAATAAAAATAAGACATTAAAGTATGAAGAAAGTATATTTTCACAATACGTACAAAGACAAGAAACAAATAAAGATATATAGCTCATTGTAAATATACACAATTTAATACATCACAAATAATTCACACAATCAGTTCAAAACTTTCATAAATACTAAGACTTACTGATGACTTGAATGCATTTGTTATAAAATAACATATATGCAGAAGCCTGCATGACTTCTTTTAGAGATGTCTCTCTTACTTCACTATCAGAAGTGTAGTACCAACTAAAGAAGAAACAACAAATTTTAATTTTCAAACTATTCACTGACACAACATAATTGTTTAACACTAATTTGAGTTCATAATTGTTTTAAAAAATTCTTACTTATTATCTCGAATAGGTGCCCTTCTGTATGTTATAAAATGACCAGCTTCCAAATTTCCAGTGTGAACAATAACACCAGTGAGTCTGTATAAGTGTTTAGGGCTGTAAAAATTAAAATTATTGGTGAAATCAAGACATTGTTAGTAAGAAGAGAAGAGAACATCTTTCTCTGTTTAAGATGAAGAGACTAAAACAAATTGTCTGGACAACATTAAAGGTGCAATAATAATTAGAATTACAATTTCGGAAAAATAACTGCCACAAAACTAGTGGTTCTACAACATAGCACAGACCTGGAGGGTGGGTTGTAAACTTATCATACAGCTAATTGTATACTAATGTTCAGCTATCTCATGCAAAACTAATCAAAACCGCTTCAAACCACATTTTCAAATATCTTCTAACACCCACTTCATAAATAATATTGACCTTTCTGTTGCATACACAGCCAGTAAAGAGCTGAATGACATTCAAGGAAATCTGTTGCTATGACAAAAATGCTCAGAAGTTTTTTTGGCTTCAAAAACTTTCATTTCTACTCTCACAAACATTTTGGAGGATGTAGCACTTTGGATCCATCAATGCTTTAAACTTTTGATATTTTGAGAAACTTGATAAAAAACAATTTGAAGCATTGGTGACATTAAATTACAAGATCTACCTGTAATTCGTATAATATCTAATGATAATTGGAACAACACAACTACATCTTACTCCTGACATATTTCCCAACTTTTAGTTCAAATGCTCCTAATCTGTCAGAGTTGTGTGTGACACGTCTATCCATCCAGACATTCTGATTTATGTGTACAAAATTGCATGCATCTCTTCCTCACCTACTCCACGCTTAACCAACTATCGAATAGCACTAATCAACTTCAATCCTCATGTGTGATTAGTTTCAGCTCCAAAAGAACCTTAAACATGGATTTTATGGCCAAAAATTCAAGTCATATTGTTAAGGTGGTTCCAATATTTTTCTCTAGTACAGGGAAGTTAAGTTAAAAAAGGTTAAAACTTATGCAAATTAAAAAGTTTGAATAAGAATTGAACTTTTACCTTATTTTTCAGGAATTTCTAAGGCTTTTATTTAAAGTTCCCAAAACAAATTCCTTTTCAAGTTCAGAGAGAAAAAAAAAACACAAACAATTTTGTGGTTTAGGTGAACGTTAGTGTTGATCAAGGACAAACGGGGAGAAAACGCTTTTTGCATATCAGACACCCAAAAAATCATAAGTCTAATTCTGAATATCATTAATTTTGCAGCGTTATATAACATTTTCCACAATATGTATATGAAAAGTTTAAAGATTTAAAGGAGTACAATCCTTGTACAATTTAATAAGAATTATCTAAATTATTCATTATCTAAAATAGTAACTTCTCTTTATTTCAGATTTGTATCAGATCTAATTAATTATTCCCATCTTTTGTATTATTTGTTTCACCTTGGTTAAGACTGCTTAAACTTCAGTAATCCAAAATTTCATTCAGCTACTTCTGTAGGACTTTCAAGACATTTAAGTGGAATGAGAAATTTCAATGTAAACAGATGTGCATGACTGCAACTTAAAAAAAAAAAAGTTAAACTTTACCTGTATTTTTTTGGTATAAAAGTTCTTTCTCCATCTCCCGTATTATGGAAATATTCTGGTGTAATTGCCTGAGGACAATTAATAAATCATTTAGTACACTTGCATGAATCATAATAAAATGTTCTGTATATGGGCTCTAGAATAAGAAATCTCTTATATGAAGATTTCAAGAAATGTTATGAACCAACACCCTGTTGCCTACTTCTTTACCATGTACAAGGTTCTGAAAACTAATGAATTGTCATAACGTACATCTTGTACGTGTGCATGCGAGAGGGGGGGGGGGGGAGGAGGAGAGAGGATGAGCGAGCAAGAGAGATTTTTTAACTATTCATTTAACTTATAAAGCAATTTATATTAAATTTTGATAAAGACATGGGATTTAACATAAGTTGTAATGTAAGATAACTTTAATTTAATACTTGGTAATAATAGAAACATAATTGTGAGAATATAAATTTTTTATCAATATTCTCTGACCCCCTCATTCATTTTTGTCACACTTGCTACCCTCCCTAAAAGCAAATGGAGCTTTTGAATGGCCCCATTTTTTTTAATGAAAGCAAATGATATAGATCACCAGCCACCAGACTCCATTCCCTCTTACAATTCGCATATTTATATTTTATTACTATTCATGAAGCAGTGGGCCTTGAAACTAGTCTTGGAATCTCAACTCAAACAAGAATATTTTCTAATTGTCATTCACCTTGGAGACTTGCAATGCTCTAAGAATTTTGTCACAGACTACCCATTTTATTGTAATATGCCTCAAATATAAAAGAAAAAAATATTACAACAAAATTTGGATTTGAAGAAGTAATTACATTTTCATCTGAGACAGTACACTGTAGTAAAAAAATTTCCTAAGCCCCGTTTTACTCTGTATTTAGTAGGTAGGGTACTTTTAAATCAACATTCATGAAATTCTAAGATGAAAATTTTTAGGTTACATTTTTTACATATACCAAAAACAAATAATTAATGCCATAGCATACTAACAATCCTTTTCAACAACAAATATAAAACATTCACTTTAAACTCTTGAATTGTTCTCACTCCATGCTAAGGGAGTAGTCTTGCATACTACAGTAACTGGTCGCAGAAACAAAATAATACAATGGAGAAATGATATGCTAAATTGCCGTATAATAGATGTTACAAGCACAAATGCTCCTTTCAAATTATTTAGAAGTTGGTATCATTTAAACTGAACTAGTGAGTGAACCAAATTTTCTAATTGTGTTGAATTCATTGTACAGTGGGACTTTAAAGACAATCCCTTTTATAAGACCTCACGATGACCGATTTTTCTTACAAGGGACAGTGAAACCTGTATATAGTATGTAAATTGTATCCCTGTTAACAGAACACTTCTCTCCTCGGCACCAGCTCCTTAATAGCAATTTACTTTATATACCTTTTATAATACCACTTTCAGTAAAATTGTAAGTACATAGTACACGGAATTTTCAGTTAAAATAAAAATTGGTGATATTGTGAATGATTTTTTTGCAACATGGCTAGTGTCTGAGCTTCAATACTACAGGAAGTCAGGGGCAGAAGGAATTCTGGGAAACATTCAATATACTGTGGCCAATAATATGGTACCACAGCTCCTTGCAGCATTTTCGTTTCATTTCTTCTAACGTGACGGTAGGTATGAAAGTAACTTAACCTTTAATTCTTTGAATTAAAAGAGCCTTCTTCATTCCTTTACCTTCCTGGATGAACATATGGCACAGTGCAATATCAATGTTGGAAATCAAGGTTATCGACTTACCCACAAACATACAAATGTTTGGGTTGCGTTCAGAATCTGTGCCAAGCTTTCACCCAAGACTCTCAGATAGTTGTATTGCTTTATTTGTGCAAAGTGTGAGATAACGAGTTTTGGGGCTTGTAAGTTATAGAAAGTGTCATGCATATCCAAATGACAATTGAGTCACCACCAGAGACTGGGAGTTCTGTTAGCAGTTGATTGAGAATACAAAAACTGAAAATGATTTACTTTAACCAAGAGAGAAAAAGAGAAAATGATATTTTTTTAATTCATTTAGCTTTGCAGTCCTTCCCTATCCTCTTGTGAACTGCAATCTATTGGTGACCTATCCACGTTTTTTGAAATTTTCTCAATTTTTTGGTTTCCTAATGCTATAATCAAAATATTGCTTTAACAATATTACAGAACAGTAAAGCCTCATCCTATATGGAAATTTTCAGTGAAAATCTTGGAGCCATTTAAAAAAAAAAAGTCTTATATGCATTACTGTAAATGTGAAATTTGAAATTAATAACTGAAATAACTGATTTCTCGAAAAACACAAGAATAGAGCAAAATCAATTACATGTCACTTGGTGCAATTAGCACTATCCGTTCCAGAAGTTTGAAAGAAACCTTTTGAGGCATTTTTGAGATAATGGCATTTAAGCGTTACTTCACACGTGAAATTTGAAGCTCTTTTTCACAGTAAACTTTATTGGAAGTCATTTTAAATCCTTCCACTCACAAATGCATAATGTATACAAATTGTTGGAAATGTGCCTATTAATGGGGTAAGAGATACTTGGTAGTGTAGGGCATGTAAGTGCGTGAGTAAGAAGGCGGAAGGAAAGATTGCACGCAGTCCATGGCCTGTTTGTCAGGGTACTGCCCTGGCATTTGCCTGGTGTTGATAGGAGAAACTTCAGAAAATACCGATCAGAGTACTGGCTACTAGAATTCTCCTGCTGACAGTGATTAATTTGACCTAGTTATCTAGCTAGTGTCGAAAATTGTGCCATCTGGCCACTACTGGATCAAAATGGGATTTGGAAATAAATTAAAAATTATAGCTAATTGAAAAGCCACTTTTAGGCATGAATTAAACTATTAAAAAAAATGTATGTTAAGTATCTCCTGAGTTAATGATTTTAGTACTGGAATGCTAATTTTTAGATAACTCCAAAAATATTCTTATCTATGGTCACTATTGGTGTTTTTACCTTATATGTAATTATCAAAAGTATTCTCACCTTCTGTTTTTGTGCTTGCATAAATGTATATTCATCCATTGACAGATATTCAGGAAATTCAACATAATCATAACGTTTGTATGCTTGACCATTTCGTTGCCATATTGTTCGCTGAATTTGAATGCAAAGGCACTTTGGTAACTGCAAACATATGAATACAATGTTTGTAAACTGCATCAATTAATGCCAATAAGTTTTGTGGTAAAAGTTTACTCACTTTTCCAAAGTTTAAAGTTTTCATAGCACAAACTTTCATCACATTCTTTCCATCTTCACGTCCCACACATTTTTCACACGTAACATCTTTTACTATTTCAGTTGATACAAATTTATTTAAAAGTTGGTGAAGAGTAAGTTTCTTCATAAATATGTTCTCCCCAACACTTGGTAAGTGTAAGGACAAACTATCAAATGTATCATACATCACAGCAGACTGCAAATTCATACTACTAAACATTTCAACATTTATATGATGGTAATGACAAAACAAGTATCTCTCATTCACTTACCTTATACTTGCAGACCATGCACTGAAACTGGCTGGTCAAAAACCCTTGAAACGGTGGTGCTTGAGATACAGGATGAAATGAAGGAAACGAAGAACAAGAAGATACTGTGGAGTAAGCTGATGATCGTCGAGAAATAAAATCTCCTCGGTCTGACTGTATTCTGCGAGGCAGAATATTTTTATCATGAACTTCATTTGTATTTCCTTCCAATGCCACCGACAATGAGAGGGCCTGGATTATAACAGCATTGCAGTTACTTATCTGATTATAAAGGCACTTGATTTTAAAAAAAACTTCATTTAAAAAATCAAATTTGAAAACAACCTGAGACCTTCCTGAATGAGCTTCTTCTAAGAGAGTTGTCATAATTACATGAAATAATTCATGTGCATCTTGCTCTCCAGGAGAAATCACCCACCCTTTCAAAACAAGAGATCTAATGACATCTGATGGTGCATAGGGGTCATCAAAAATTGTTGAATGTTGGCCATTTAGAACTGTTGATTGATACATACACATTTTTTAGTCATTAAATACACTTAAGCAGTTTAAATAATTTTAATAATATGTTACTCACCTAGAACAACATCTCTAAGAGCTTGAATTAGACTCCCTGGCACTTGTTCTTGTTGTGATAACCATTCCAACATTGAGGGACAAGATGCAAGAGCTTGAAGCAACGTATTTAGAAAACAGGTAAAACCTAAATTGACAAGTCCACCAATACGTCCTAATAAAGGACAAGAAATATTTATATTTACTAAATAATATTCAAAGTTTTTAAAATTTACTTAAGATTTTTAAAATGTTGAACATTTAGAGAAATTCACAGTTGGATAAAACATACCTGCCTTTCTTTTGCACCTGTCAGGAGGACCCCACAAAATGAACCCACCAACTCCTAATGCAACAGTCACTATAATAACGATGACAATCTTTTCTGTGTCCATCTTTGAAAATTTTGAGATAACTGAACCAAAACTATTAACAGAAAATTCCTCCACCCATTACTTCGCAAGTCATTTCTGTCGAATTATACAGCACACACAAAAACAATTATCTTACGAATGTCAAAATGGTAAACTGATAATCCATTATACAAATACTTCAGATTTTCACAAAATGAACAGAAAAAAATGAAAAGACACCTTACTTAAATTCCCGGCTGACCAGTAGTTGTCAGAACCGGCATTTTATATCTCTGCTGCGCTCACCTCTGTTCATATCACGGTTTATAGCAGTGTATTTTTAATAGCAGTTTGTAAATTACGCGCTTCCCCTCTCACTTGTCAACAACATAACCTCTGCGAATACGCAAAGTGTAAACTTGCGTAGGTTGGTATTCTTTGCATCAGTTTGACAGCTTGATATTGCTGTTCCACCTTCTCATGGCGAATGTCTGAGAGGGAAAATGCTCGCTGAAAGTGAATTTATGTATTACCAGATAATAGAAACTTGGCGTTATAGCTTCTCCGGTAATTAAAGAAATGACTGTCCGGAGAAAAGAATTAGTCATAATGAAGTGTATTGATTACTGGAAGTTTCAAATGCCTAATTGAATTATTCACCCTCCGGCCACTTGACAGGTCTCTACACTAAGTATTTCTTTCACCCATGTTAATTTTCACAATTATTAGGAGTTGTAGTAGTTATTTTATAATGTCTTGACATCACATTTTTTCGTGACTAATTTTGTATGTGTATGTCACATGTTGAATTGGCAATGGTTTTAAAATAATCACTATTTAGTACTTTCTATGCAATGTTTGTACATAGTTTTCTTTCAAAAATTGTAGGCTTAAAGTATGGGCGAAGAAGTGCATGTTCCTCATGAAACACTTGTGCTGTATTTTCATTAATTTGTGAGCTGCTTCAAAAATTTTATTCATTCATTGTATTGTTATACACTTAATTCAAGAAATGGCTACAGTTCAACCTCCTACAACACAGTTAGAATTCCATCAAGCCATGGCTGACTTTAAAACAATGTTTCCTGACATGGATGATGAAGTTATAGAGGTAAGATTTTGATACTCTTAATTTATTCTTTAGGAATATTTTATTGATGTTTATAGTTACAGGTACCAATCCTTCTCTGATTGTAGTATTAGCTTTAATTTAAATTTTGTAAAAATTTAAAGTGTTACATTCTTGTGAGAAAGTTACCGTATGCTTTACACTGCTTTAACTGTTTCTCCATCTTATTTATAGCAGTATTATCTTTAAAATTATGTATTACTTTTGTACTTTATATAGTTTTGAATACAAATATATACCACTAGCTTCAAATACTAATTCTACTTTATGGACACACTTCTATAGATATATTTTCTTCAATAAAATTAAAATTTCTTATGCAATTCAAAAAACATTTTTGTTTGTAGTATCTATTGAATTAAAAGACATTCTATTGACCTAATGCAAAGAAGAATCTATTTAAGCAGTTTTCCAAATGTTGAAAGTTTTACTGGACAATTTGCATTAAAGCTTCTCATTGTGTTGCTGCGTAATAAATGTTTAGCTTCCTCTTCATTTCAGTGTTTACTGATCCCTTCTCTCATATTCTCCATGCATTGTTTCAAACAACTTATTATTATACTTTTTACATAAATAAAATTGATAGGAGAATTACCCTTAGTCATTTCTCTAATTTTTGTGTAGCCTCTTAAGCTTTTCACTTTTTTTGACAAGTTTCTTGTTTGTTTGCTAGTCATTATTTTGATAGAATAATTAATCATTTATGAGTATGTACTTGTTATTTTAATATAGTAAATAATAATGGTCTGTGAGTAAATGCTAACATATTATGTTCCATTAACATCCAGAAGAATAAAGTGGTATTTTAAAATAAATCTACAACAGAATTATTTTCACCATATAATTTTTTTTATATAAATGTCCATTAGGTTGTTTTGTTATAGTATAAGATAAATTTATTTCTTACAAAGAAACCAGTTGTATTCTTTCTTACAAATTGTGTTAGGGTTGTTAATTTAATTAGATTTATTAATGAAAAGTGTGATTTATATTTCTACATTTTATTGAGTCAGGTTTCACTCTCAATTACTTGTGAGAACTCTTGATATTCATAATTCAGATAGTTTTGTGAGAGCAGTGGGTCTTTTTGTAGCATGTGTGAAAATAACATTAAAAATTGTAACTTTCAGAAGGCTTTATATACATAAATTATTTATTAAAGTAGTGTATTTTTTGGTTGGATAAATGCTTCATAATTATCTTCATGGCTTGCTTATGAAAATTGCATGTATGTGCTTGGATGTTGGTTGTTGTGCTTTATGGTCACCTGTGACACTGTGCACCAATTAATCAGTCATGAAAATAGAATCTAGTGACACTACAACTTGCAGATATTCATAAAGGACATATCAAAAAATGAAATTATTCTGAAATTGTGTATTTCTGAAAACACTTAAATTTTTATTTTGTAAATTGAAGTTCTGAAAAGTGAATTTGAACATGTAATTGTCTGATTGTTTATGAATTCATTTTATGTAGTATGTTTCCTTCCAACTCAAAGTAAAAAAGTAAAAAATTTGTTGAGATTATCTTTACTCATTATTAAGCCATTTACAGATTTTTTCAGCAAACAAGGTACATGTCTTTTATTTACTTTTGGTAGTGTTCGTTTTCATCAGTCTGCTAAATCAATTTTTTGCTGCTTTGCTTTGGCTCAGGTCTTTGGAAAGTTGTATAAATAAACGCCTGTTTGTACAACTGCATTGAAGAAAGGGGAGCAACTACATTTTGCAGTCCCTTTGGACCTTTTTTACCATTGAACATTTTAAATGACATATGATATATTTTACTAGTAAATAAATAAAACATACCCCAAGGAAAATGAAATAAAAAATGTAATGATACAATTAATAAATAATTGAATTATGTTCAATAATTTACAGTGTTACAAGAGATTTGAAGAGCTTCTTCCCTAAATGTCATGTATTAATTCCTCAAAGTTCCAACTTTAAAAAGGGAAAATGAGGAATAGTTCACAAATTCAGGAATAAAAGATTTCATTACGTAGGGCTACAGGGCCCCTTCAAAAATTTCAGGGAGAACATGCCTCCCCATGCACATGCCAATATATTGTGGAGAATTGAAAACTGCTATTATATTTGCAGAAGTTATTTCTTTTATTGGAAAAAAATATTTAACACTGAAGGATTAATATTTATAAGTGCTGGAATAATGGAGACTGTTTTATATTATTTTTCATTTTGCTAATTTTAACATACGTTATTTTCCTGATTACTCATAATGTATGGAAAGAAAATAAATTTGCTATCTGTTATTGACAGATAATTCAATATCTGGAAAAAATACAAGTTGTTTCTTTTATGTTTTTCTTTAGTATTATAATTCTTCTTACAGTGAAGTATTTTGCATAATTCTAATATACCATTCTAATCTAAAAGTTTCTTATTTTATTTCATTGGGATGTACTTTGTATTGAATATATATTCCTACAGTTTTTGTTTGTTGTTTAAGGTTGCATCAACTACTAGGTCATTAGCAACCAGTATTGCATGTAACGGTATGGTAACTACGAGGATGACACGATATGGTGATGATAGGGATGTGAAAGGACGAACACAATGCAACCATGCCTGAGGTGGGACTCGAACCCTCGATCCTTCGGTTCGAGATCGCTTCGGCACTACTGCCTTAACGATCTCGGCCATCCGGACGGGCAATTTTTACAGTTTGTTGCATTGAAGGAAATGAACATTTCCACCCAAGTTAGGGCATAATATCCTAAGGAAAAATGTGCTGTAGTACTCAGATTTTTAGGTTACAGAAAAAAAAATTGTTTGAATAATGAGCAAATGTCTTTCATGTGATCCTGCATCCCTCTCGTCTTTGAGCATAGAATACAACCATGACCTTGGATGATCATTTAAAAATCATTAGTTTTTGTGAAAACTAATTTGCTCATGGGTGGGATTGTATTCATCGGGTGTCTGTATCAATAATTCACTTAAAGTAATCCACATAATACATTTACATTATTTTACAACACACTGCTAGATAACATGAATCCATTACAATTGATACACAAGTTTAAATACCAAATGAAATCGTTTTGGCTGTGTAACTGTTTCTAAGTAGTTAGAGAGTGTACTGACCAGGGCTGTCTTTCGGTTAGATGGGGCCCCTAAGTATTGTCTGAAAACATTATTATTTCATTTTGTTATAATTTTTTTTTTAAAAATTAATATAAAAATTAAAATGTGTGTTAATCCTTCCTCTTATGGTAAGTAAACAAAAGTCAAAAAGATAAATAGAGGAATAGAATTAAAATCCCATTAGGGTTCATGTGATTTTTATATTGCTTTTTCAACTTTCCATTAGAGAACAAGAATTCATTAGAAGGATTGTTTGATAATTTTTTTTTATCATCTGCGGGGCCCCCTTAATCATGGAGCCCAAGGCATGAGCCTCATCAGCAAGGATGGCCCTGATGCTGATCATCAAAAATAAAATGATATTCATTTTCATAATTATATTAATACATTAATTACAATTTGTATTGTTACTATTATTTATTTATAATTCTAAAAGTGCATATTTGCCTTTATCAAAAGTCTTTCTTCAACTTGTGGGTCAGTGACCCACATCTTGATCTGGTTTTTGATCCAGTTCGCATTGATCCATTGTGCAGGTACTGAGATGTTTTGCTTCTGGACATAAATGAAGCTTCATCATATATGCATGTTTTGTTGAGCTCTTGAGATGTTGCTGGGGAATTTACGGTAGTTATTTTGTCAACAATACCATTTAAAAATTGTTTTGATTTTTCTTGTGGTGACTAGTTGGTTCCTTCATGTGGGGCACGATAAGAGAAAATAGCCAAAACCTGTAGCTCATTCACCAAAGCAAATGTTTCCATTGCATGAAACTGAATTATTCTTGTTAACAAATTTTACCAAAAATGTTTGTTGCTACCTTCATTCACAATTCAGCTTAATGAAGTAAAAAAGCATGGGTATAAATTCAAGAGCTTAAAAAAATGTGCAGTTTGTACTTCACTGTTATACATCACTCATAGTTTTTAACTGTTCTTTAACATTACGTAAATAAATTTTTCATTCAAGATGAATTTTTATTAAACGTTACATACGAGAAATACCTCTTACTTTAGAAAAGTATTTTTGCCATTTTTAATGTTATTACAGTAACATTTTGTTTATTTGAACGATTAATTACTAGAATTTAAAGTCTTGTATAAAAATAGAAATTATTTATCCATTGACAAACTAGTTTTTATTTTATGTTGCAATCTATCAATCAGTATTGAAGTCCTTTTCTTCAAATTATTCCTAACAGAAAATTCCTATTTTTTAATTGTTAAAGAAGCTACATGTGTGTCATATTGGCATTCAAATTATTTATTTAATGTGAAACAAAGATACTGACAGTGTTAAATTCAAAGAATGGTATTTTGAAATATATGATAAAAATATATCATTATAATACACATCTAATCGTTGTTTTGAATATAAATTATAGGCTGTGTTACGGGCAAATCAAGGAGCAGTGGATGCCACAATTGATCAGCTTTTAGCTATGAGCACTGATAATGAAAATGAAAAATTACGCAATGAAATGGAAAAGAAAGAAACACTTGTTCCAGACACCCCTGCTGCAGATGATGTTCAGGAAGAAACTGTTCAAGAGGCACCTGCTAAAAGGTTTTTATTTACATACTTATTATTTCCTCTATAGCATTGATTCTCAACTGGTGTGCTATGAGGTTTTTGTTGCAGCATCATATGCTAAAAACCATGAAAATAATTTTAATGATATGTTGATAGATAATCATATTATTCTCATTTTCTTCTATTTGTGCCAAAATTACAATTTCATTCCTCATAATATTTCATTATCCTTTGATTGTGGCGGTACAATTTTGACCATAGATATACATCATCAAACAACAAATAAGCAGAAGCATAAAATTTTCAGTTACAATTACAATTATTTCTTTTACTATTTTTAGGGTATAAATAAAAGATTAATGTAATGTTTATAGTGTGTGGTTATGTACATAATATAGTATACCCATTATTTCTTGATGTCTTACTATATATTTCAGAATGACTGCTAGGTATACTGAAGTCGCTATTCACTGAGTACCAGTTTCTTCTTAAGAGAACTAGACTATGATGTTAGTGATGTAATCCTTTTCCATAACCAATACCTAATAATTATGAAGAGTGTACTTATAAATACCATGAACATCTTTTGTGGTTATGGTCTAGCATTTGTTTAATTGCTGTAATTCTCAAATGTGTGCTTACAAAAGAAAAAGTTGAGAATTATCATAGTAGGGAAATGAATGATTGTAATTATAAATTCAATTATAAATTTATAAGGCTGTTTATTACTCTATGTATTCAGAAGTCCACAGCCATCTCCACAACATACTACGAACACTGAAGTGCCATTGAGAACTATACGAGGCTGGGCACCACCTTTGTTGGGTCCTCTACCTGATGACTTTTTACGAGTTGTACCTCCTCCTTGGGCTGCAACTCACAAGAAGCAGGTGCGTTCTGGGCTCAGGGGCCATTCAAAAAGGATGTTTGAAAAATTTTGTTTGTTTTACTATCTGCCTTCTACCTTTTCTCCCATAAATTCTACCCAACACAACTCATAAACCTTCCCCTCACTTAGAGGAAAATTTCCATTTTGAAACCTTCTACCCCTTCTTGGGTTAAATATTACTTGATTTCAACCAGTTCCACCAGACTACTATTGATTCCAACCAGTTCCTTTTAAAATAAAGACACTGACCTTTTAACACAAAAGTGTTGTAACACAAAAGTAATGTTTTTTAGCCATCTTCAGACATATCTTTTACAGAGAATACAAATTATAGTAGGTTGACAATTACTATTGTATTTACAATTTTTTTAAAATTATTTTAACCAAAAATCATGTCAATATAATTTAAGAAATTTTTAACTACATTTTAAAGTATTTATTAAATTCTAGTGTAAGTAGACAGAAGCTTACCTGCATTAGTAATATGAGTTGGACCAATTTTATCTTTAGAACACAATATATAGGATAAAAAAGAATACTTAAATTATTAATAGTAAAGAGAAACTCACATAAAGAAGAAAAGTTATATAATACTAACTTCATTAAAAAAGGCGTGAAATTGTATATATATTTCAATTCAATTTGTCAAATAAAAAAGTATGTTTTTTATTAATATAATTTTTTTATTTATTGTTTGGTATTAATAAAGTTAAAATATATATTTCAATATTTCAAAACAATTTTTTATTTGTAGTGGAAGGTAATTTTTAATTTAATTTATAATCAACACCATCCCCCAACAATTTTAGGTGTTCTTCAGTTGGAAAACATAGCAGGGATTTGGAATAAATATGAAATTGTGGGTTTTAAACATTTTCACAATGATAACAGACAAAATGCAATAGATATTGTTGGTATACATTGCCAATTTTTTTTTGTATAAACACACCATTTGAACATAAAATGAGATTGATAAATTATTGAGAGAATGATTATTTTAATCCACTTTCCTCACCCACTCTTTCCTCATTTCTTTCATTCATGTTTGTGACCATAAATGCTGTGGGATCCTCCTACCCCTGAAGCAAACATGTTTTTTTTAATAGTCTGTTATGTGTGAAGAACTAAGAAGCATAATGTCCCTGAATAATTTGTTGAAATTATTTATTCATGACCCATGGGTATTTTGCTTTTTATATTTTTTTGCAATTTGTTTCTTATTTCAAACGGTCTGGAGTATGTTTAATTTATTTAATTATTTATTGTCAAAAATCTGTATGTGACATATGGGAAGGACAATATGTGCAAGTTTTCTTGAGCTCCGGAATCCTTATCTCCAATTGTTCGCTTCACAAAGTTGAATTATGAATAAAGGTAGCTATGAGCATTTTTGTCAAATGCTATAAATAAACATATGCTGTTGCATAATAGAAACTTCTTGCATTGGCAAATGGTTACGGATTTTGACTGTTTGCCCTTATCATGTTTCACAAGAAGGAATTGTCTTACAACAAGAACTTGGAGAATGATTATTTTGTGACACTGCTGAGGAAATGGCTAAACTTCCCAAGAATACTCTATATGGCTTAGGGAAACATTGTTGATAGTGAAGCTATATTTATGTGTAATGCAAGCAAATGTGTGCAAAGCAAGAGCCATCATTGCATTTGCTCAATATATCAAGGGAATGGGACAAAAAGCCTGATTGAGATGCTTCTTGTGAAAGTATGCCAATTTCATTATTCTGGAGCAGTTTTATCACAGAACACTTATTTTATCAATTAACTTTTTTAGAGAAAAAAAAAAAGATTGTGTTTCTTCTCTGGATTATTTCTTCCATATCTTCGTGTTTCAGCTCTGGATTATTTCTTTCAAAACTGATTATCAACGTCCTTTAGATTGCTTTGTGATGTTTTATTGAAAATACTTCTCTCTTCTTGGCAAGTTATTTCATTCTCTTCGTTATTTCATTAAACTGTATGTGTATTGTGTAACAATCTTTTCATACTCTTTCATTTTCAAATATTATGTATGGTGGTTAATTGTATTACTTAACATTTTGTTGATCTTATATCCAGTAACAAATCTCACTGAAATTATAATTTGTGCACTCTGATCTTCGAGGATTAAACAGAAATGCAGATTTGAAGCACTTGAATAAAAGGTATGACTCAGACTTTCACCAGTTGTTTCTTTCTTTTTCTTTTGTGGGTTGCTGAGGAGGTGGAGTGAAATGACCTTGAGAGCAGTTTTGAGCTCGAGGCAAGTAGTTAAGTGGCTGCCACTTAACAAACCTGTTGGTATGGGTTGCAGCTGTCTTGTCTCATTCTATTTAGGTCACTCACTTCTCAGTGCACATTCAAGTTGTCTACTCTCACTTGAATCTTCTATTATGTGGAAGCAGTTATGGCTTCGAATTCAGGCGAAAAGTTTACGAATAACTACACGCTGGCAGGAACGTTGTGCTCGACAGCGTTGGTTAAAAAGAGAGAAAAGAAGACGAAAAGCAGATCAGGTTGTAAAGGGGATTGTTGAATTCTTTCTTGTACATGTTATTACACTTGAATCTCTTTTGCTATCATTGTTGACACTAATAGTTTTTCAGTTTTCTTTTACATTCTTCCTTCTCTTTGAATTTTTAATGAAGTGTATAACTAAAATATTTTTACCAATGGTTAAAATTGTGAATGTTTGAATTTCTTTAGAGTAAATTCAACTCTTTCAGATATTCTAAACATTCATAGAAAATTCTCAAATAACATAAAATGTGCTTTTCCCTGACAATATTAAATAAACTGTGAAATTGACCATGTATAATAACCATCCTCTTTCTGGTTATTTCATTGCATTTGTTCAATTTTTATACATCTTCAGACTATGTTACTAAGCCAGCAATTGCTACAACAGAAGTATGCTGAAAATCAGAGAGTTAGAGGAGTTCTTTGTGATGTTGGTGATCCTGAATTGGATCGCTATCTTGAAGATGAAAGAATAGCTCTTTTCCTACAAAATGAAGAATTCATGGCTGAACTACGATGGAATAAGGATTTTTTATCAACTCTTGAAAGAGGTTTGGCTATTAATACTTCTTTGTTATTTTTATTGGATTCTGAAAATGATTGTGATACATAGACCAATTTTCTAGTCTTATTATTTCCCTGAATTTTTATCCAAAAGATTGTCTGGCTTTTAGATAAAAATTAATTTTTAGAAAATTTGCACATTACTTTTGGTGCACATTGCCTTATTAGATTTCCTCATTATGTGTTTGACAGATCAAGCTGAAGAAAGTCCTCCAGAAGAGACTCTCGCATCATTTCCTTTTAGCAAGTCACTTTCAAGTAGTCATGATGAAGAGGCATTATTTAGAGAAAGGCTTCGAAATATGGGAAAAAGTATTTTTGAAACATTTGATTTGATGAATATCTGTAGACTGAACATTATCTTATTGGTGTGTATATTCTGATTTTTAGTGTCCCGCAAAAAATTTGCACAGCTGGCTAGAGTTTTCACAAGACGTAAGAAAAGGAGTTCAGCAAAAAATATTTTGAGCCAAGGACCAGCACCGTCTAAAGATAATCTTTTACTAAATGCAGAACCACTTTTGGATGATGAAGAGGAGGAAGATGAAAATGTCCCTGAAGGTTTTGACTCTATGAAAAGACCTGAGCACAGACAGTAAGGTAAGAATAATATCTTTATACCTCTAGTTTACACAGTTGGATAATTCTGTTGCTTCAAATACCCAATACTTCTCTTTGGTATCATATACTAAACAAAAGTTATGAAATTTCTGATTGCTTAACAATCTGATTAAATTTTGTGTTCTTCCCTGAATACCTTGTACCTAATGCTGAAGCACAAGAGAAGTAGTGTTAGAAAAACATTGCACAAACGTTTTTATAACTATCCTTTCCCTTGGAAATAGCTGGTTTGTAATTTATAGTTGTATATTGGTGTTAAAAATTTAATAAAAGAAATCTTTCTTTTTTCCTCAGTAATAAAATTCTTGTTATACTCTTATCATTTACTCATTCAATAATGTTGATGCCTTTCCACCATCATAATTTATTAAAAGCTTCTTCCTTTCTTTGTTGATTCAAAGAAAGGGTAGAATTGGGTCCTTAATTTTTTTAATACTTTCAAATGTTCCAGCTGATACACAGTATACTTTGAAACAATTTTGCATAGCGTGATTTGTATACCATGCAATTGAAGTAAGCAGTAGTGTCGTATCTCTGGAGGAATTTGGTCCTTGTTTGTACACTCTACATTTGCTTACAACCTTTACTAAATTAAATGACGATGATTGCTTGTTAAAATGATCCAAGTTGTAAAAATCACTATATGTATATTTGGGTCTCTTTTTTTTCTTTTCTATATGATGCTCACATCTGATTCTGTTTTTTTAATGGTTTTCAGTTGTTTTCCATGAACGAGATTTCCTTCATATTTTCATTTCTACATATTCTTCACTTATTGTGTTTTACAGTTTTAACTTATTTTAATAGCTAATTTTCCTCTTTTCTGATGAGTTTTCTGGTTCTCTAGTCTTTTCTATGAGTTTGCTTGTCATTATATTTCTTTCATTTATCTTTGTTTTCAGACACAATTGATTATACATTGTTTAATTTCATTTCTGATTTCACTCTTTTAGAAAGAAGTATTTTGCAGCTTTCAGTTAAATTTTAGTTTTGGATCCAAATTGTGAACTCTATTTGTAAGATAGAATTATTGTTGTGTTTCATTTTTTACAGACTTGTTAGTTGCTGTTTACTGGTCCATCCCAATTGCAGCTTACTGATTCTATCAGTGCAGTGTACATACATCACATTACATCGCATAAGTGTCAATCTGTAATTGTACATAACAGGAACTTTTTCTCATTATGTTGTTCTAGTTAATAATGTATAATTTAATGTTTGTAAAATAATTTAACTGAAGAGTTGTTGTTCATTTTCTGTGATTTATTATTCATATTCAGCCTATATATTATGCATTAATTCAATTGTTTTATTCTTATAAAGTGCCATTACACAAACTATAGTGAAGAAATGTAGAGACAGAATTGTGTAATTCATAGTGTGGTTGTTAAATATGGAGTGGTGGTAATCTCCAGTAGAATTGTGATATAAGATATGTGAATTTAGTTGAGAAATATGTAGAGTGTGTATTTGATGACCTTTGTCAGAGATATTTTATTTAATTGCTTCTATTTACATTTCATCTTAAATGTTTAGTTTTATAAAATTTGTTTATACCAATTATTCTAAAAAATTTACTCATCTTCTTAAAAGTATCTAGTCTCTTAATGTAATACTCAAGTTGATTACTTCGGGATTTATTTACTGTATTTTTTATTATCTACAGTGAAATATTCTATTTCTTGATATGTAACTTTGAATACTCAGAGGGTGATTTTATCCTCAGGAACAGCATTGCCTTTGTTTTGTAAATCAGTAGCTCTTTAAATCTTCAGAGAGGCAAAATAATTGTTTGAGCATGTCAGTAGTTACTCATTGTTTTCTAATGATTTGTAAGATGCTCTCATGTATAGATGCCTCAGTAACTAGCTAAAATGAGCTTGCAGTATTCTGAAAATAGATTTATAAAGCACTCTCATAATATTTTGAAAAACTTTCATCTGCTCTTCCCTGAATTCAAGTACATTATCCAATTACAAGCAGTATGCCTTGGTGCATGCCTTTGTTTTCATTACATTTTCAGGATAATCTGAAAGCTCACTTTTTATATCTTCTTTCGCATGCTAGTCAGACATATGCCAAGTGATCTATTTCGTTTTCTAGTCCAGTAGTTTTCACAAACTAAGACAATAATGTTAGAATCCACCCTCTATATTTATGTTAGACTATTATACACATATTCACCCATTGTTACTTATTTATTTATTAATTATTTAAATGCAGATTTTAAGACCAAATATTGTTATATATATTTTGTATTTTGATTTTTTGAGAATTGTTTATATAATATTGTTGTGTGAAGAATGATCTGATTTATCATTTTTATAACACAGATTTATTTGTGATGTTGTTTGATAGCAAATAACTGGTTCCAAAATCACTTTTCACAAGAGAAATTGAAAGTAGATGATCAACAATTTGGTCAGGATCTTTTCTAATGAACAAAATAAAAGTATTTATTTTAAATAATTTTTTTAAATTCAAATTTGTTCAGCTTGAAAATACTTAATGTTATTAGTTGTAATTTACAACATTTTAACTGTATTTCTGTGCTCTAAATATTAATTTTTATCATTTTAGAAAGATATTGTTAATATTTTGATATGATGTTTTTGTAGTTATAAAAATATATTTGAAATGTCTTAATTGGGCTATTGAGATAGAAGTTACCGCTCCTTGAAGTGTGCACTGTTTAGTTTTCAAGATAAACGAAAATGTTGGAATCATTCCACTGCCAGATTCAATAGGAATGTCCCACATTTGTTTCATGCAGGCATTAATGTCAGGCATATTTCCACAACAGTGTTGAAAATATATCACTTTTGCTTATTATAACATCAAGTTTACCATCAAGCCTTTGTTGATTTGTTGTTGTTGAAAAGAGATGTGATTGGATTGTGCAGATAGCAAGGTAAACATACAATAGGAACTTTTGAAGTGCATTTGATATAATGCACTCACATATCATTTGTATCATGTACAGTTAAGATTATGTGAAAGATTTAACCAAAGGTCTAATGATATTTTTGTCAAAAAGACAAAGGCAATAAGCTAGAACAGTGGAGTCGTTGTTTTTGGCTGTGTTCCAAATGTTTAAAATGAAATATAAACAAGATTTTTTTTCCTTCAAAAAAAAAAAAAATCATGAATAAAATTGTTTTTATTTATTTGAACATTAACAGCTGATGTCTCATGCGTAATGAGAATATACTTTCAAGTAAATATGCAATTGATTTGGTGAAGAGTTTGCTGGTTATTGGCTTTTGTTTCGTTATTTGACTTTCTTTTATTCATTACCATTTTGCTGTTCCTTAAAAACTTTAAATTGATCTTGAGATGTAAATTGAACCACTATGCAATATTGTGCTCAGAAATATGAAACAATATTGTTTTTTTGTAAGCATATTATTTTTTGAGTACAAATATTGTTTCTTTCATGTCCAACAGATATGTTTGAATTTTTTTTCCCAAAAATATTTGTAAGATGAAAATGCTAAAGTGTGACATTACAATTTTATCTCAGCTTCTTGTCTTCAACAACTTTTACTGACAATATTGTTTGCTTGTCAAAAATTGAAACTTTTCAATTTAGGAAATATTTACGCCCCATTAATTTATAAATTAATTTGAATAATTTTATTCTTTAAAGCCATTTTTACATTATTTTTTATGAAAGTCTAGTAAATGTAATGATTTCTTTCTTCTTATTCCTTTTTCTATTTTATTTACTCAATGTTTGTATCTTTTAAAAACACTACTTGTTTGTTCTTTTAGTCTTGTATAGATGTCATTTATGTCAGAAATACATTCTACACAGACTTTTCCTGATTTTGTGAGAATATTTAACTTTATTTTTTACTTTTTAGTAGGAAGAGCAATATAATTTATGTATTTCTTTTGTGATGCTTATTTTCAATTTTGGAAGAAGTATGAATTAGGAAGAAGCAAGAGTAATCTCAATTGTTAAAAATTGTTATTATTCATTACATGAAGTAGAATTTGTGAAAATTAAGATTAGGGAATTAACCCGTGTTTTGAGATGTATTTAATGTAATAAGTATCTTAAAGACTGAATTCTCTGTTGAAATCTATTTCTGTCAAATTTTTAATTGAGTGTATTCATTGTAGTTTACTTATAAATTGGATACATTTTAAATGATTGTGGGTTTGTCCATTAACCTTCATTTTTAATTTGTAAAATGTACAAATTTAATTTAATATACTTAGTGAATTTTTTATATTTAAAAAATATTATGATTAATAAGTTATAATTCCATTGTCTTAATATTAATTTGATACATTGAGGAATATTTGGAGTTTATACTTTGTAATATCAAATCATAGAGCTTTTAATTAAGGCTTGGGAAAAGTATCTTTCTATAAATTCTATTTCATATCTTTTTAATTGTATTGTTAATTTCATACAACTAAAATTATTTGGTTCTTCAGGCATAAAGACATTTTTAATTTAAATTTCTTATATGAAATGAGATGTTATAAACAATGTCTGTGAATGGCCACAGTTCAGGTACGTTTTCAAAATTTTTATTTTGAAGTTGTTAAACTTGCTTTTTGGTTTGCTTAGCTACCTTGTCTAATGTTCATGAATGTATAAAGTAGCTCCTTTCAGAAGCAATGTACATCTGATAAGTGCACCCACTGTATGTGCATTACCTTTTTCACTGGACAGTATATTTATAGAAGTACGGAACTTGTCACCTTATGGTACGTTCTTTCTCTCTCTTTGATAGGCACTTTACAATTACTGAATTCTTGCTTAATTTTTGTCACTTTTTATGAGTTTCAGTTATGCTGCTACATACTTTAATGAGCTGCTCATATATTATCTGTATGTGTGGGTCACTGGACGGAAACAGACATTAAATTGCTAACAATTATTTGTGACCTTCAGGACAACAATTAACATTGAAACACAGGTTATTTGATGTCACAATTATGAGTGGCCTATCAACTGAGAAAGATATGTGAGGCTTCCTAACTAGAGTATAATTTTCATGAAATATAATTTGCTCTATGTATCTTGGAAATAGAAGTGGATTTTTCATTATGTTATGTTTACTCATATAGTACATATGAATGTGGCTAACAAATATGATATTTACAAAATAAAGAATTTGAATTCTTACAACACTTTCCTTGTTCCTCATTTGTTTTCATAGAATAAAACTAAAAAAAAAATTTTGTCAGAATATAAATTGATTTATTCATACAAAAGTTCTTTAAGTATTTTTCTTACAGTTCGGAATGTTTTACATGATTAAATCTGTGTGGTTCATTTAATGGTAAAGAATCCCAAAATCTTGTGTGCCCTAAATCTAAACTTGATTTCATTGTTATTTCTTTGCTGTTGGGTATACTTAAATAGTCTAATTCTTCACTTCTTGCTCCAACTGGTTTCCATACAATATTTTTTCTAGTTGGTGTGGGGTTACTGAAATGAAAAGTGAGCAAATAATTAATTCTTCTCTATATGATAATATTTTAAGGGAAGTTTACTGTTTTATAGGACAAATAAGATGCCATCAACAAAAAAGCCTGTTTTGATGCTAGAGAGAGAATTATCCCTCAAGGGTGTATCAAACAGATTCAAGATAAAAAATGTAGATTTTTGAAGTTATGCTTTGAAGATATCAGCAGAAGCAAAAATGCAACCCTCAACATTTGTTAAACTGTAACATAAATTACCATCATGCATAACTCAAAAACAGTGTTTTCTAGGCCTTTAAAACTACTTTCAAGTCACCACAAGGAGCCATAAGTTATGTTCCTTTATCAATAATCTACAAAAGGAGACCTTACTTTGGAAACCGTTTGTCCTATTAATGCATGGGCCCAAAGGGCCTTGGCCCAGGGCCCCAGATAGTTCCTAAAAAATGATTTAATACTACATTTTTCAAAAAATAAAAAGACCTGTAAAAAAGTGAAGTATGATTGAACGATATGCAAAAAATTGGCATAACGGAGTGATGTGTTGTGCATAATTGAATAATATTTATTATATGGAATGTTGCTGGTTGATGCACAAATATCACTTTGTGATGAGAAATTAGGTTTTTTCTAACAAAGCTTGCCTTTAAATTAGTGGGAGGGAGAGATCAGTGAAAGTAAGAAGTAGGAAGGGGACCCCCAAATTAATGTGGACCCAAAGGTCCCCAAAGCTGTTTAAACAGCCCTGGTCCTATTTATTTTTTGGGAGAGGCAGGGGTACGTGTGGTTAAAATTGTGCAGAATATGACTAGTTTTTATTCTGTGCAATTAAGTTCCCAAGTCTAAGCTCTTTCTTTCTTAATAAATGCATAGCAATATCTTAGAATGTTTACTGAAGCACAGTACTTGGCCTATATCATGTAATGCCCAATTCAGGGTTTTTAGATTTAGGTTTCAATGTACAGGTATTTTCACTTTTAAAACAATAAGCTACAAAGTATAAAAAGTTTGCATGGGTCCAACTTGTCTCGTAATTGTTGAAATGGGAGCCTTTCAGTAGCATGTAACTATTGAGAGTTATCTGTACACCTAGACCCAGGTTTCCACCAATTGAGAATTCTCACTTTGAGGTTCTAATCCAACAACATAAGCCGTGAGGTGCATCTGAGTGAAATGAAAAGCTGAGTCATAAATATGAAGTGAATGTTGATGGGACTCAATATGCTGCTACATTGAATCCCACCATTGGTTGGCATTTAAAAGACTTAATAATTACTTTATTATGTTCTATATGATGTGGTATATACCTACCCAGTCTTGGCAAAATTTTTGCAAATATCTAACATCAGTTGTGAAACAGCTCTATCTTCTTCTGACAATTCGGTGTTACAAAATGTCATGTGCATTATATATCCCGTGTCATCACCATGAGAGACACCTAAAACACAACATGCATATACAGATATACATTTATCTCAATTAGTCATTTTTATATGTACAAAGAGAAGAACAATATGTGAATCCATTTATTTATTCAGTTCAAGAATATTAAAAATATATATTTCTTACCCATATTAATATTTGTTTTTGACATAAAATTAGAAATGCTGTCATATCCTCTGTGTGAAAAGACATAAAAGTAAACAGGTTGAGAATTTGCAGATGCCATGAGTCTTGCTGCTCTCTCCACTGCTACTACAAAAGTTCTATCACCTACCATCTAAGAAAATAGTGTTCCAGAATTAACAAATTTGTTGGAAAGTTAATGAAATTGTAATAATCTGTTCATACTAGACCTTACCTGAATGAGCTCTTGACGTGATTCCTGTAATATAGGTTTGTCTTGAAAGTAGTATTGACGTATTTTGTCACTCACTTGATTTTTTTCCTGGTTATTAACAGTATAATTAAAAAATAGAAGATGTGGGGCGATATCATTGAATTTTTCATTCAAATCTTGGAGAGCTTCATCCTTTGCTGCAAATTCTAATTCAGTATGATCATTATTCTCAGTATCTTTCCATGGAGTTTGCAATAAGAAAAGTTTGACTGTAAGTTTGAGACTAAAAAGTCATCACATTTTATGTAAGTAATTTGTTATTTAATTATCTGTAAGATACCTAACATCACAAAGCTTGGGGCACAATTATAAATAATCTTTATTTTTTACAAAATAAAGTCACAGTCATTATATTGTTGTTTTCTTATGTTTAAGGTAGGAGGAAATATTTTTTTAAATGTGTTTCTTTTGATAATGAAATAAATGGACAATTTAATTTTCATTGTCCACAAAAATCAGATTGAATTAAATGAGAAACTGCAATTTATAATTCAGAAGAGTACTTCTTTCTGACACAGCTTTAAACTAAAAAATAAATGTTCAATTTAAAAATTAAGATTAAAGTGTTTTTTATGATTATAAAGTTTTCAAAATAATTTTTATAGAATCACCACACACTTCTCCGATGATCTATACTTCCACTACAATAAAATGTTTACTTTTCTTTATATTCAAAAGAACATTTTGTGAGACTTATGACTTGCCATTATATTTGGAGTTCCAAGCAATTAAGATTGATTAGAAGCCTCAATTGCATTAAATGCCAATTATTCTTTTATGCTTTCATGTCATACTATGTGTGTCTTACTACAAAGAGACAGTGTTGTAATGTATATTACATTATATATATATATAGAGCAAATGGAACGGGACTTATTTTCAGCTAACTCCGTATTGTCAAAAATTGCAAGGAAAAAGTTGCATTTGTAAAACTACATTATTGTTGATAGATATTTCTTCCCCAATGAAATCTATTCTTTAATAGTAGATTTTGAAGTAATGTAAATGAAAATCTCCAAATTTTTGAAAATTGCAAAGGCAATCAAAAAATTTTTTTTCAGTGTCAGAAAGGTTTGTATAGCTGTAAGAATGGTGTAGCAGTAATGTTTCTGGCTAGTGGAGAAATTATTTTAGTAGGTCGGATACACTTTTGCAGGTACTTTGTAGTAGTGTCATTTTCATAGCTGTTACACGTGTGAGAAAGTGTGTGCTGTTGTAGCATCAGAAGTTTCTTATTTTGCTCATTCATGATAATCTAATCAATTTTGAGTCCTATTTTATTTTTGTATTCTCCATTTACTGATGTGTTTCAGTAGACTTAATCTTCAGTAAAGGAATGGAATGTCAGTTCTAATCTAGAGTACTGAATTCTTGAATATTTTCATACAAAAGTCTCATATTTCTTACAATGATTATTGAGGGAAAAAGTAAGTGCAGTGCAGAAACATGGTTTGGAAGAAGAAGTAAATGGCTAAATATTGAATTGCTTCAAATTGTTTTCGTTGTAATGGATTAATGTGCATATGTAATATGTATGTGCACCTGTCTTATTTGGAACAGAAATATAATTGTTATTACCAGCAGCAGGATAGAGTCCTTCTTCTGTTGTTATGCTGGTCAACCAAGGCAGATCTTGTGCTTCACCTCCAAGTATTATATCGACAGGTTGTTTAGAAAGAAATGGTGTTTTACCTGGTTCAGGTATAATGGGCCCAAAGGGGTTAAATGGGATAAATCGCCAAACCTGTAATTCAAAGAGAATTAAAATTTTCTGTTTTAAACTTTACATTAAAATATTATTTATCAAAGTATTTTATTATTAAACTTTAAATTTAAATCCAGTTTTAATGCTTAATGTATACCTGGAAATGCTTTGTCTGTTCAACAATCTTTCTGGCAGGTCGTGTCTTTAAGCACTCAACCATTTCGCGTGATGTTTCCGTGCTGCAGCCGACCAAGTCAGCAACTTTTTTTGTTTTTTCTTTATGTTGATATCCTTGAGCCCAAGGTGTTAGAGCACTTCCACTAAATGACATACCTTGCTTAAATAGACCTAGATTGAAAGAATAAATTATAGCAAAGTAAATTTAGTATTAGATTAAAATAATAGGTCTCCGAAGTCACAAGATGGTGTGCTGATGTGAACATATACATGATGTAGTGATCAATCTCTACAGTTGTTTGCAAAAGATATTTAGTACTTGAATATGCTCAACATCAACCCAACAATTTTGTATATATACGTTATTTGCCAGATATTCCTGAGTGTGTGTTGTCATGTATCATGTAAAATGTGTGTGATGCTTCTGTGCATGTGTAGTGTGTGTGGTAAAATTCTAATCACTCTAGGTTTTCTGCAACAAACTTGTATGGGACAAACAAACATTTTTGCCACATTTGCTTTAAAAAATTAGTAGACTTAAAAAGTGATATTGAGTATGTGACTTATAAATACAGCATTACGAAAAAATTTGGGCAGTAAAAAAAACATTAATATATAATAGATAATGGGTCATCTTTCTACTGACTATACATAACACTACTTCTGACCTCTTTTTCATTGTTCTGAAAAATAATCGAGTTGTGTTGGAAAACATTACAGCCAGTGTGACATAAATGTGTTTTTGCACATTATCTTTGTGGGAATTGCAGTGCATTGATACAAGTCTGCTGTGCACTGGTGAAGCAAGAATTTAATCATTTGTTGAATAATGGGCTAGGTCAGAAAATTTTGAGTTTTGAAAATCGCATTTGTTGTCCAGGGAGGACCAGAAGGTGGGGCAGCTGGGGCAACTTGCCTCAGGCCCTGGCTCAATTGGGGCCCTGAATTTTTCTTCACTTAAAAGAAATAAGAAATGCATTCATCTCTAATCCAAATTTAACTCAATAAGTTATTTCTGATGCGTGTAGAAATGAATTCTGTTCATGAAATTAGGGAGGATGGAATTTTTTGTTTGAACTGAGGGACCCCCACAGATCAACTGCCCCTACAATTTTTCAGTAACTGTTAACTTCTCACAAAACTTTGAAGCAAAAATATCTTTGGATAATCGTTTGCCTGTGGCATTTTTCCCCTCCCAAAATTTGTCTTTGGATCTGCCCCTGATATCAGTCTATCTAGTCTTGCGTACTTTGCCGCAATTTTGTATTTCAAAATACTAACCAAACGCACTGTTAGATCTGTTCTTATGAAACAAAAATACGCATTTATAAGTTGGAACAATAGTCTATCATTAGTCATCTATAGTGCATGTTGGTGTCTACCCAGGCGTTTATCCTTTCACATTATTTCTTTACATGAGCAGTGATGTGCAGTATGTTTTTTCAACTACACTTGGTGAAGGATACATATGAAAAATGGAAACATTATTTCTCTGCAGCTGGATATCCTTACTGTAGTACTCATGTTACTTATATTCTAATTTGATGTCATTTAATAGTTGTTTGAGTATATTTATAGGAAATGCTAGTATTTGTTTAGATCTATTTGTACCCAAGAAAATAATGGTTAACTCCAAGTTTCCACCATGGTTTAGCGGGGAATTAAAAAGTGCAATAACAAAACATTAGCCATTACACTTGAATTACATGCAGTGAAACTCTCTAATATATGTTACTTAGTTTTGTAAATTGAGATCAAATTTTAAAAGTTTTGCCAAAAGGGATTTTGCAGTAGTCTATTGTAATTTAATTCTAGGTATTTTTACCATTAGCTTGTCTCTTAATATATGAATCAGTGGTTTTTGTCAAAAATGACTTACATAAGGGCAGGAATATATTTTCAGCAAAAAGCGTTGTCTATAACTACAACACTCGACATAGTAATCATATTCATCAGGTAACAGTATCAACAGATCACTACAAAAAATTCACACATAATACATGTACATTATTTTACAACACCTTGCCAGATGACATTAAACAATTAAATTTGATATAAAAGTTTAAGTCCCAAGTAAAATCATTTCTGCTGCACAACCGTTTCTATAGAGAGAGACTATACCGAACATCCAAAAGGAAAGAAATATTAATTTTAACAATGACATTTAATGTATTATATATCATTTGGATTGTATAATTGTAAAGATCCCGTCACAAGTATTGTGCTTCAGCTTCTGGATCAATGACCCCTATCTCGATCAGGTTTTTGTCCAGTTTTCCAGTTGTCCAATTAATTAATTATTATATCACCACTAATCAGAAAAAAATATTGGAGATTCGTTACTTCAAAGAAAGAAATCAGAAGTCTTCATTTACAACTAGAGGAGTAAATATTGTACACTGGGATTAATCATTATACACTGATATTGAATCTATTGTGAATGATTTTGTGAGCTACTTTTCTTCATTTTACAATCCTCTACCATGGTTATGATCAATGCAATCAACTGCTGCTGGTTCTGTGCGATGTAGAAATCAGGGTTGCAGATATATTATGCAAAATTGAACACTTAGACACTGAATATAACACAGGGCCTGATGACATCTGTCATCTTAAAAAATCACAAATATATTTATTTACAAATTCTCAAGGCTTTATTTGATAAATCTTTGTCTGAGTTATCTTTTCCTTGTGAGTGGAAATCTTCCTTTTTACTTTCTATCTTCAAGGGTAGTGACAAGAACTATATAACTAATTATATACCCATATCAGATATATGTGATAAACTGAAAATTTAAGTCCCTGATTATGAACAAAATTGGAAAAGATATTTACCCCCTTTTGTCGGAGAGACAATTTGGATTTATGAACATAAAAGCTAATTTTATATATTACTTAGAGCTTACTTACATAACACATTAGAGCTTAAATATCAATTTGATTACATTTACACTGACTTCAGTAAAGCATTCGATTCTGTAAATCATGACCGACTGATCTATGAACTTGAGCGTTTTGGGATTTGCAGACATTTATTACAATGGTTTTGCAGTTATCTAATTGTGTTCAATTTGTATTGTATAAAAATGTTATGTCCAGACCTATTTGTCTCATCAAGAGTTCCACAGAGGTTGCATTTGGGGCCTCTTTTGTTCAACATCTTCATAAATGGCATTGTAAAGTTATTAGGAAGTTTTTGCAGGGCAAACAAGCATAAGGGTAATTTTAACAGCTTTGGGGGCTGTTGGTTAATATGTGGGCCCCCCACCCTTACTTTCACAGATCTCCCCTCCTGCCCCCCCCCCCCATTAAAGACAAGTTTTGTTTAAAAATTAAACTTCTCATCACTGAGTGATATTCTCGCATCAACCAGCAACATTTCATATTATAAATATTATCCATGGATGCGCGACTTATCACTCCCTTATACAAATTTCTTGTGTGCAGTTTAATCATACATCACTTTTTATATTTTGAAAAATTTAGTTATATATAATTATTTTAAGAACAATCGGTGGTCCTGGGCTTGGCTCTTTGGGTACGTGGGTTAACATAAGCCTGCATAGCACGCATCAATCGACTGCACTCTGCTTGATCTTCTGTGTGTGCGTAGATGCTCAAAAGTGATGTGAAACTCTAACCACATGCCCAGAAGATTGATAATGCTGTTGATTGCAGAAACTTTTCACTGTGCAAAAGATCCCTATTAATGGTGTTGAGTGTCTTTCATTTGCAGATGACTTTAAATTCTTTATGAAAATCCAATCAGACACTGCCAAAGTTCTTCTTCTGAATGCACTTAATGCCTTGTCAGACTGGTTCACTCACGGTGTTTATCTCAACTCTAAAAAAATGCTAAGCGATCACTTTTAATATATTCCAATCATTAACAGCCTTTAACAATGCTCTGAATTTCACAGTGCTTAGAAGGGTTACAACCCTAAGGAATCTGGGTGTAATTTACAATGCTCTGATGACATTTTCTGATCATATCAGAGCACTGTTACCAAATCAAATTAAAATTTCAGATTTATTCGGTGAACACATCATGAACTCCCCTTGATTGTAATTTTAAAATCACAATACCTGATGCTGGTAAAACCAATCTGATGTTATCAGTGGTTGTGTCACCTTTCTTTGGTAGATATATAGTGTATTGAGAGATTAAAAAAATATTTCTTGACTGATTTAATGTTCTTTGTGCAATTGATTTATGATACTGATTGCCTGCTTTTGTGCACCCTAATATAGAAAATAACTTCTAACTTTATTTGTGGAAACAACAGCATTTTTTAAATTAAATTTGGTAGTCTTACACAGCCAATACTTGTATAAAATGATTTTGCAAAACAGCTTAAGCACTAAACATTAAATTAAACAAAGAAAACATACTAAATTATTGTAGAATGTGAGGAGCATCATATTGACATATGAATGATGTTATTTTATTAGTATACTTACTTTTATATACTTTTATAAACTTTTGTTTCATATATACTTTTATAATCTTTTATATACTTTCGTTTCATGTGTTTTTGAGGTATTTTATGTATTTTGGTATGCATGTTGTGGATAATTTGTTCATATAATAAATAAGTAAATAGAATTCATATATTTTATCATAGACCATTTCTTGGCCCAACCACTCAATTGGTGACACCTAGGATAATATTAGTGTCACCCTCACCTTCCCCCAATTCTGCACAAACATATGTAATTTAAAGCCTACTATTAATGCTTTTGTACAACAAAATTTTTGAACAAAAATATGATAAAAACATAATAAACTTTTTGTACAAAAAATCTGTCATACCTGTTAAAATGTTATAATTTTGGTAGGGGAATATCAATGAGTGGTCAAATTTAATTGTAATAGAGTTTGTAATCAAAATTTATTATAATTAAGGGAGGTGCAATCATTACCTTCAAAATTACTTCAAACCTTACATTAAATTTCAGAATTATAAAATAATTATTAAAATTAATAAACCTAATTTCCAATGATAATGTTGAATTCTTTATTATTAATTTCTGATGCATCCAGAAATTGACAGGAAACTATGCAGCCTCTGGGCATATAAGAGGTGTCTACGGAAGTCCTTAAATCCAGTGAAAAACCCTGCAGTAATGCATCTGTTTTGACGTTGACTAAAGATGCAAGTAGACACCTATTTGATTGTGTTATTCTGCTTATTCCTATTCTGCATGCATTGACTCAATTCTCGTACTCAGTGCATCACTGTATCTAATGCAGCTGCTGTCATGTGATAGCGAGATTGCAAAGAAGATTCCATACACTAGTTATTTGCTTTTCAGTGTAGTGTTAAGGAAAAGCAACTCTTTGTTCTTGGCATGGAAAGAACTGTGGTACTGTTTATATATTGTGTCATGTTATTGCAGTATTTATAGGGACTTTCTGTTGAAATATTTAATTTAGTATTGCAGTGTTATATGAAAGGAAATGTTTAATGTTTGTCTGATGTGTGTGCAACTTTTTTGAAAACCATTTTATGTTGTTTCATTCAGCAACATTTTGTTGTTGCGGGGCAGTGGCTGCTCGTGCTGGGAGTGCACGGTTCCATAACCCCCCAGATAAAAGATCTCATAATATCTTAGGAATGTACATTTTTCTTTTAATTACATTTAATATTCAAAATATTGAAGCAATATCGATGTATAGGAAATTATGATGAAACCTAAGAGCCTTCTACTGGCGCTCTCTCCGGTGTCTGGTGCCTTGCCAAGTATTGCACCGCTCTCCTGGCCAGTGTTGCCAGTTGGGTTTAGAGAGATTCCGCCATGTTCGTTTCAGTTTCCGCCGGAAGTCCGCTGAATTGGTTTTAAATTTCCCGCCTAAATCCGCTAAACGTAAAATAAATATTTTTTCATATTTAAATGTATTAATTTATTCTATTAAAACAAAAATATGATTGCGAAATATAGTGGCTTTATTGAACCTGTAATTCAATTTTTAGATAGTATAGAATGCATTACTTGGGTGAAAATTTGCAAAATAATAACAATTGATTTCAGGTAGTATATAATTTATTGTATAAGTATTATATTATTTATTCTTCCTAGTAACATGGAGTTAGAAATTTTCAAAATATACATCTGTGCAAGAAAACTTATTAATAGAGATTAACGAGGTTTATTCCGCTGTCCGCGAAACTAATTTTTTTCCGCCGTACGAGTTTAAAATCCGCTGAAAACGGCGGGAATTCCGCCGTTATAGCAACACTGCTCCTGGCTCTTGGCTGTATTACTGGGCACTGCATTTACTTTTTGTTCCTTCGATTTAACTCGGGGAGCAAGGGCCTGTGGTGGCGCAAGCAGACGGGTAGCGCTGTCTAGCGCAGCCCGGCGAATACCAATATTCTGTCTACAAAACGGCAAGGGGAATACCAATATTCTGTCTTCGTCTGACTCGCTACAACGTAATTTTATGAATTTTGCAGGCACAAGTTCAGTCTTGTTATGGAAAGTACACAAGTTCAGTCGATTATTGACGACATTCAATGCGTTATGTACATCTGAAAATTTTGTTTTCATTTGATATTAGATTTGTTGATTTAAAAAGTCAATTTGATAAGTTCTGTGTGTAAAGATGGCCGTTCTGATGGAAGGGCCAGTTTCACCAACCAAGATCAAATTGGTAGTTGATCCGTGTTTCGTGATCCTGATCCGCGGAGTCAAGGCCGACTTGATCTCTGTGCGTTTCACCAACGTTTTGAGACTTTGAAGTTAATCCGGATCCCATGATTCACGAGCAGTCGTGAAAACGCGCGGTTGGAAACAATTTTGCAATGCATTGTGGGTATTCTCGCGGTCAGCTGTAGGAAACGAGTTGTCTTGATTTCATTTCGTTCCGTCTGTGTGGGGCAGGTGTGGGGTTCGGTTGCATGTGGTAGCAGAGAGTGTGTGTGGTAGTATTAGTGTTCGGTGATGGATTCACCTGAGATTATAACGAATGCATAGACGACGCCCAATTTCACTCCAGCGGAAAGAGAATTACTCGAAAGCTAAATGAGCAAATACGTAAGTTTTAATGCTCGTTCTGACTTTTCAAAATAATCGCTTCTTTTGGGAATTACTCGTGGTGTCTCTCCCCATAATGAATCTTCAATGACTTCATTCGAAAACAAAGTCCAGTATTACGACACAAATTAACCTAACAAGAACAAAAATTCAAAGTCTACTACACTAAAAAACGTATTCAACAAAACTATCCCACGCAAATTGCAATACAGATATCACAATAATCAGATAGAAATGCGGAATAACAGCGCCTCCAATAAACTACAACTAACAAAATACTATTTTAATAATGATACCTATAATTACACTAATTTGAAGCCAAAATTTATTTAAATTTTACTTTCCAATACCGAGAATTCTAACCTACAATTGTGTTAACCCTACTTTTATTTACAATACTATCTTAAAAAACACATTTGCTCAACAAATATTGCACGCAATCCTACCTCTTAGCGAATACTTCCATACTGAATCTGAGTCCAACTACAGGTATTTGCTTAAAAAATACGCAAAACTGGAATAGCTAGACGACCAAGCCGAGAAATAACTTTTGATCTGGCCGTGATCCACCGCTCGGCGACGGATCAATTGCGAGTCAAATGTGCTCCGAAGCAGACAGATTGATTCGTTTCATATCTCTCCTCTATGGTTTCAAGTGCGTGGAGAAACGTACAACGGGATCAACCTGAAGTTGATCCAAATCAACTCGGGTGTCTCGTGAGAGCCAGTGTGCCTGCAACAGGCCGGCCAGCAGTTTGCGAGTTCTTGTGAATACGAATGTATGTCGAAGCTCTTTCATTATTGCTTTATATACGAGGGTAGTGAAGTTTTCGAAATAAAATAATTTTATTTGTGTTAAATGTGTGGAAACAATAGTGTTGCAATGTTCTGGAATCGAACTTGAAGTGCCCAGTGGAAATCTGAGACAGAACCACGTGCGCAGGAGGTGTACCTTACATGTAGAATACACGAAGCATAAAATTATGTAAGTAATGTTTCAATAAAGACTGTTATCCACTTTGGTTAGCTAATATGAAACATTACGCTATTATAATCAGTTTCGTAATGAAGTGTTTTACCGCTTTCGTAATGAACTTCATTACCACACTAGCGCGGTAATGGCATACGAGTAGGGTTATTCTGAGACGAGCACTATTCCATGGTCTACTATTTGTATGTTTATGTATATGTATGTTTGTATGTATTGTATATTTACACTAGTTGTATGCTAACAAATAATCTATAGCAGCATTTGCTTCTATTTCTATTTCCGAGTCTGAACTGCATTCGCTATGTTGTCGAAATGTGTACACCAAGCGCGTTTCGATTGTTGTCCTTGTTAAGAACAGTGTCGCCACTTCAAGGGGAAAAATGTGAATACTAAATGAAAATTTTAATCTTAAATCTAACAAATTTTTACAAAGTGGATAAAACGTACGATATTCGTGTCGAAACATCTGATTACAATACTCAATTGGTTACCAAACTCGTCCTAACGGACTCGTTTGGCAATTTTCCAATCTCGTATTGTAATCAGATGTATTACGACACTAATATCGTAAATAACTATTATTTAACTTAGTTTAAATTAATTTACTTGAATTGCTTTATTGTATGAATGGGTGAAAACCAGGAGGGTATAAGTGGCGTTTTATAAATTCTGAGAAAGCGTGTTTATTTTAGGTTTGTTTAGGAATGGTTACAACACGAAGAAATAATGGAAGAGACTCGCATTACAAAGCAGGCGTTTAAGTATATGCCTCAAGATAGAAAAGACCCTGGAAGACTGTTAGAAATATGGAATTCTTAGAAGCTGGAAGGTCGTAGATCTAGCCTTGAAGTGACGAAGAAGGAAGTCGCCGAAAATTAAAACTTCTGCAGTGTTCGTAAATTCAGAGTTAACAGTGAAAATCGGACCTGTGACACCTTTATAAGTGTGTTTTACTCTATTCTGACAAGAAATTTAAAGAAAAACTTTGGAGCCGTTTTTGTGAAAATTTTGAAAATGTACCATGGACTTCTCCCTAAATGCCATTGTTCTGTAAACCACCACCTTTTGAGGGCACGAGCTGCCACTGACATTGACTTACGTAAACAGATTTCTCAGAATTTATGAAATATCACTTATACTGCTCTGGTTTTCACCCATTCATATATTCGTATTTTGAATTTTTGAAATTAAATTTCCGTGTTTCGATGAAGGTGCAATCTCAGGTCTGTTGGGCTCCAGCCGCCACTGGTTGCAGACTACTTATAATAATGTTTAACTCAAATTTTCAAATGGTGTCAACTGGGGCAGTATGACCCTCTCCCGGCTTGGCTGTGCTTTCTCATATAGCTATGCCACTGACTATTTAAAATGTACAGTATCAAGTATTGTTTAAAAACATTACCTCGGGAAAATGGAGATAAATAATGATAATGCACACTGGCTCCTCCTGCAGATGTGCCAGTAATTGTAATCTTTTCAGGATTTCCTCCAAATGCATGAATGTTTTTCTTAATCCATTGCAATGCAAGTGATTGATCTTTTAATCCATTATTTCCTGGTACGACTTCATCTTCTGTGCTCAGGAAGCCTAGCAATACACAAGAGGTGATAAAGAACCCAATACATAATTGCATATGAAAGTGTAGACATCGAAGTGAAAAACAAAACCTACCAAGAACTCCTAATCTGTAGTTAAATGTGACAGCCACAAAATTATGATCCATTAAATATTTAGGACCGTACAAGGAGCCTGCTCCATGAACAAATGCTCCTCCATGAATATATACAAATACATCTAGAAAATCATTGTTTTTGCTAGAAGGAAGCTAAAAACAGAAATAACTGTAACATAATATATTCCTATTATAAAGAGAATGTATGATCAATTATGCATAAATTCATAAATAAAAGAACAATTTTCTCTCAGTCTTATTGAAGCTATGATTGTTTTGGAGAAGAAACTGCAACTGAAGAAATTTAAGATATAAAAATCTTTTAAGAACCAAGTTTACTCTTGTGTAATATGTAGTGACTGAGATCAACATATGAAGAACAGAGTAGTAATATTTGTCACTAATTCTATTAGTAGAACTTGGTGACACAGTCACTGAATTCCCTTCTTTCCTAGTACTTCTCCAGCAACTGGTAATCTAGTCCATCTGTGAAGCACATATGATCTCTTATAAAATGTAAATTATTTTGCTATTTATTGCCCAGTTGTTTTAATGCACAATTTATTCGTATCATTATACATAGTCATGAAAGAAGAGATAGGTTCTAACCCTTATGGTTACATTATCACTAGACCACAGAATTTTAAGCATACAAAATTATTTAGGTACCTATAATAGGTAACAAAATTATAAAATTAGGCACTATTATCTTGAAAAGTGATGTTCTAGACACTTGAAATAGGTTACAAAATTATTATCACAGATATTTGATTAGCATTACACATGAAAAGCTATGTTTCTGACTAAAATTGATTTGAAAATGATAGAATTAGGCACTTTTTACTTTCCCGTATACATTTACGGAATAATATACGTACGTAGTATAGTGGAAGTTATGTAATGCTGCGCGAAAAAACAAACAACGGATTTTCGGCAGAAAAAAATTCATTGCCGAGCCCTGGCAACGGAAAAGTGGATGAATCCAGTTGCTATATTAAGAAAACAATTGTCTAACACGTTGAGTAGCCAGAATCTCAAAAGTTTCCTGTAAAAAAAGAGCTTTAAATATGTATTGTTATTGCCTTTGTATTGACTTACAGAGCTCCGTATGTTCGGTGTGTTGGTTGAGTGATTTCGCTGCGTAATCGATTCAGTGTCAAGGAATGTTCGTGTTTCGGGAAATTCGGGAAAGTATTTGCGTTTCAGTAAAACATATTCAAACTAGTGGTTTTACAGAATGGCACAGCCTTGCCCGTATTAGTTTTCTATTTCCCTTGGTCGCAGCAAGCTACTCGGTTTTGCCAGATACTCTTGCCTTCTACCATCTATCGCCACTCCAAGTACATTTCTTTTGACATTTTCTTAATTTTTCGGTTTCCTAATTGTAGAGCGAAAATATTATTTTAAGGTTATTAAATAACAGTAAACCATCATCCTAAATGGCAATTTTCTGTGAAAAATTTGGTGCTATTTTTAAGAAAAAGGTGTTTAAGCGCCACTGTAAATTCGAAATTTGTGTAATTTTTAAAAAACAAAAATCACCGAAACGAACATTGTGTCATATGAAAGAGCAGAATTAGCAATATACGTTCGAAATGTTTGAAGAAAAACATTGGAGCCTTTTTGAGAAAATGTCGTTTGAGCGTTTCTGAAAATGCGGCGTTTTGAGCTAGTTTTCTCAGAAAACGGTTGAGGTTTCGAGAAACTTCATATGACATTATTTAACACATGTACTCGTAAATACAATAATTTAAACAAATTGCCAATAATATAAATATTACTAACGTGAGAGACAAGTAAAAAATACATTTCTGTAATTTTTGAAAAAAAAATAACAGCAAAAGAATAGAGCAATATGGCGTTATATCATCTTATAGAGTACATTTACCACTTCCCTACCAAAAGTTTAAAGAAAAAGTTAGGTAAAGCTATTTTTGAGAAAATTTTGTTTTTGTAATTTTTTAAATTTGCACATATTGCACGAAAACTACTAAAAGTTTCAAAAAACATACGTTACCTTAATGAAAGAAGTCACTATGAAGAACAAAATTTGAAGGAAAAATCTCTATCTTGAATTTTTAGTTGTAGGAAGAAGCCGAAAAGAGAATACTTTTTGAAATTTTCTAAAATTCATAGTTAATTGTGGAAATCGGACCTATGCCACGTATTTTACTCTATTCTTACAAGAAATTTAAAGAAAAAATTTGGACCGCTTTTGAGAAAATTTTGAAAATGGTTGGAGGGGTCATGTAAAGTACCTCCTAATTTTGAGTAATGTTTTTCAAAATATCAAAGTTTTGACTTGAGCCATATGGAGAGGGTTTCTTCAATTTGGAAAAAAATCCTATGCATGGTTTTAGGCACTAGCAGTGTTCGTAGACACCACACGGACGGACAGGGAGACGGACGGATGGACGGACATTTTGAAAAGAGACACTTTTTCGATACCTGAGGGCACCAAAACGTTTATTTCCGTTGAAATGTCGAAATAGATTTTCCGCAGCATTACATAACTTTTCTTATACTTCGTAATTACTTCGTATATGCGTACGTATACGGGAAAGTAAAAACGAGTAATTAAAATATAATTCTTCAAAATTACTTGTTATAGGCAGTTTTGGGCAAAAAAAGGTATCAAATGTCTTTTTATGACATATTAGGTACTACTGGACGCTTTTCAGATGTATTTTTTCATAATTCGTACACATCTGCAATTATTTCTCACAACTTCCTAAAGGAACTAAATATGCATTTGCCGTAAAATCCGAAGTCTAATTGTCACTGACACACACTCATTGGTTTTTCTTATGACTATTAATTTTTACTTTCTTGTACACGTACGTATATGCCGAGTAATATAAGTAGTACAGAGAAAGTTATGTAATGCTGTGCGAAAAAACGGCGCTTAAAATGGGTTACACAATGATTACCCCAGGCATTTGATTAACATTACACATGAAAAAGCTATGTTTTTGACGTCTAAAATTGATTTCAAAAGGATTAAATTAGGCACTTTTTACTTTCCCGTATAGGAGTACATGCATATATACATAGTAATAAACGTAGTAGAGGGAAAGTTATGTAATACTACGCGAAGAAAAGGCGGATTTTCGGCAGAAAAAAATCATTGCCAGGCCCTGATAACGAAAAAGTGGATAAATCCAGTTTCTAGATCAAGAAAAAAATCCTCTAACCCGTGTTGTAACCAGAATCCCTGCTTTGAGGGTTCTTGATTCTGAAAAATTAATTTACAAACGTCCGTCTATTTGTCAGTTTGTGAACACAACTAGCGCATACACCATACGTATGATTTTTTCCAAAATGGATATTCCTCAGTCAATCTGACTACTCGAGGCGCCACGATTTTGAAAAACTTTTTTTTTTAATTTAGGGGTACTTTACATGAAACCCCTGGTACATTTTCAGAATTTTCTCAAAAACGGCTCGAATTTGTTCTTTAGATTTCTTTTAAGAATATAGTAAAATACACTTAAAAAGTTGTCATAGATCCGCTTTTTACGGTTAATCCTTTATTTTCGAACACTGCAAAAGTTTGCATTTTTCTGCGTCTTCTTCACTTGAAGGCAAAGTCTACTACCTGTTCCGGCTTCTAAGAATTCCACCTTCTTCGCGGTCTCCCTGGGTCTCTTCTGCCTTGAGGCTTATTTCATGTCTTTTCATCATCTGCTTTGGAATCGAGTATCTTCCGTTATTTCCACATGTAACCATTCCTGTATGTAACATTGTATTTTGTCATTGATTGCTTGAACGTTTAATTCTTTTCGAATTTACTCATTTCTTAGTTTATCTAGTCTGGTACATTTTCTTTACAGATCTCAAGAATTTAATTTCTGCAGATTGTAACCTCAGAGTGCAGCATTTACTTCCGAAAAACAGAGACGGGACAGCCATTACTTTATACATCCTCATTAGATTATCTCTACATGTGCCGAATGTTTCCGCATATATTCTGCTATTTATGATTTTTTTCAGCATCGTATTTTACAAAATTATTTTGGTGCTTTTAGGACGTTTTTCCTCAAATACCATTGTTTTGGTCTTTGTGTTTGAAATCTTTAGATTATATCCTTTGCATGTTTGATTTAATTGATTAATAGACCTCGTTAAGTCATCCTGACTTTCTTGGATTATAATTTGATCATCAGAAAATAGTGTTTTTAAGAACATGCCAAACAATTAAATATTATAACAACAATTAAATATATGTTAAACAATGTTGGGGAAAGGCTGGAAAACTCCATGGTTTGTTTTTATTTCTTTTGAATATTTTTCTTCTGATTCTTTAATAACGGAGGTATTCTGGTACAGAGATTTAATGATATTAAGTGGTGTGGATAGCTTTCCATAATTTCATGTAAAGTAGAGCGTTCAATTGATCGAAAGTCTTTTCATAATCGGCGAATGGGTCACTAGATTAAATTCCCTACGCTTTTCCTTTATTTGTCAGATAGTAAAAATATTATCTGTACATGAGCGTTCTTTTCTAAAATAATTTTGTTATTCTATTATTAAAATATCAGGGATTTTAACTAGCTTTTTCTTTAAAATGTTTGCATATATATTTTTTAGCATGTGGGTAATAAACTAATTCCTGTATAGTTGACTCAGTCGCTTCTTTTCCCTTTTATAAATAATGAAATCACTTTTGATTTTTGCCATTTTTCAGGGACACTACATTGCTTCCAACATATATTTAATAGATGAAGGAGTCTTAGTTTTAACAGCAAACCTACATACTTAATTAGTTGGGCATTCATTCCATCAAGTCCCATCTTTCTATCTTCCTATAACTACAAAATTGAACATAGATATTTCTCTTTGAAGTACAATTTGTCCATATTTAGTTCCTTCAATAAGGTAGTGCATATTGTTTTGAAATTTTTAATAGTTTTCAAGCAATATTGCATGAAGTACGTGCAATTTTAAAAATAACGTAAACAAGACTTTGAAAATTGTGGTATATTAACTCAAAAACTGCTCCTTCCAGGGAATATCAGATTGCATGCGACGATGGCATTCCGCGTCGCGGCTCGCGAATTTACTTGAAATGCGTCTCATTGTTGGGACATGATTTAGCTGTATGGAAAGCAGTTATACTTATCAAATTTGTGTTGATATGTACCTTAAAATATTTAGTTTTCGCACCAAATGTTCGACGTTCTACGATGTGTTAATTCAGAAAGAAATCGTGGTGTAAATAGTATTACATAACCATTACTAAAGGCGACAAAGTACGTGTTGTTTTAGCTCGACTAGTTTTTCTACGGATTAAATGTGGGATGCTTAAATCAAAGGCGCAGGTGTCGTTTTTGTTTAGCTTTGTGTTTTCGGAATTCTGTGTAGGAAATAATAGGAGAGACAATTAGATTTTAAACGTCCGCACAAATGGGAGTGACTGCTGTGTCACAGTGAATTAATACTGTGGACCTGAGTTCGAGTCTCGGCTTGGAAAAAAATTCTGGTTGAATGCACTTACGCATGTTCAAGTAGTAGTATATTATTGCGGAGCCGATAAAAATCACGCGATAAAATATTTGCTGTTTAAGTGCTACTAGTTCACTGTTGAATTTCACCCTTATGGATACTTCTTCATATCAATGTCTGAAGGTAGAGAAGGCAGTCTTTTGTAGTATGTTTAATAGTTATTTAAGACATACAGTACGTATTGCAAGACATCTTATTGCTATACGTTATTGGAGAACTGTCAAATGTGGTCTTTAGGCTCAGTTTTGAGGTATTATTAGAAGTGTTCTATGCAATTATATGTATTAACTACTATCCACATAAATATCATCACCAAGATGAATAGAAAAATGTAACATTTCATTAAAAACAAAATTGTAGTTATTGAAATGTGACTAAATCATTGAACTATATTTGCATCGTAAAATCGTATTACAGAATTTATTATCAAAATCGGCCTAACGGCCTCGTTTGATAATTCTCCTATATCTTAATGAATATTGAGATGTCTTAATAGGCTCACGTACGAGTAGTAAATAACAATTAACATACTTCAGTTGACAGGTGTGTCTATTCCCGGCATCGCACATGAAAAAGAATTGATTAGGATATAATTAAACAATAAGAAAATGCATAAATGCTTGTGGTGGCATCCCTTAACACTTCTGGTGGTTCTTTGGGGTTACACGATAGACGCACGTCAACATAATCGTCGGAGAACCGCGGCCGAACGCCGCGCAGTCATTCGAGCACATATTTTATTTTATTTTCGTTAATATTTCGTTGTATTGTAATATATTAACGAGATTATAATGTTAATTTGTAATCAAGGAGAACAACTATCTGAATGTTGAAAAGAGATTCATTGTGGTATGTGAGGTATTTATTTCTCAGAACACAATTTTTCGTCCCCAGATTTCACTCGTACTTTTTACTTTCTCCCCTTTACGATGAAATTGTTACGAAGAGAAAGTTATGTAATCGTTCGCCAAAAAAAAAACAACTCCTATTGCCGGATTCTGGTAACGAAAAAATCGATAAATCCTGTTATTAAATTTATGAAATATTCCTCTTACATATGATGTAGCCAGAATTCATTTTGTTGGTAGTTGATACCGAAAAATTGACAGCAAAACGTCTGTCCGTCTGTAGCCAACGCTAGCGCCTAAACCGTTCAGCCGATTTTCTCTAAAATCGATATTCCTCAATTGTTCTGGCTGATGTCGCGACCCCCGGAATTTGAAACCGATATTTTAATTTTGGAGATACTTTACAGAAGCCTCTGAGACATTTTCAAAATAGAAGAAAGACTCCAAGTTTTTTGATTAAATTTTGTTTTTTGAATAGTGCGAAGGGCGTTTAAGAGAATGATGAGGGTCTCATTTTCGTTGAAATCCCCGATTTTTCGAAAATCACAAAAACTTTTATAACTACAAAATTGAAGATAGAGTTTTTTGACTCAGAAAAAGTCTTTTGTACAAAATTTGCTCTTTAAAAAAGGTAATTTATAATTGTTTGAAAAAAGAGCAGTTTTGCGTAATTTGCGCTCGAAATTTACAAAATTGTTGTTTTTCTGAAAAAACTGCTAAATTTTTTCTTTAAATTTTCTTCACTTGCGTAATAAGGGACGATAAAAAATACGGTGGTAGCCCCATTTTCATGTATCGTTCGGTTTTTCGAAAATTGCAACAAAAAATAATTTAAAACTACAAAATTGAAGATAGAGATTTTTGCACGCGACAAATTTTGTTGTACAAGATTAGCTCTTTAAATAAGATCATGTTATGCGCAATTTCTGCTTTAAAATTAATGAAATTTATGCAGGCGTCACACCAACTACGGGCTACGAGAAACATTGAACGAGTGATATGCATAATAATTAATTTAATTATAATTATAATTTACTATTGAAAATGACAGTATTAATTCTATTTTTATCTTCACGCACTTTTAGTTTTTACTCAACTTCTATTCTCAATGTAGCGATGTATTTCTTTCCAGCAATCCTCAAAGCTTAATTGAAGTTTATGCAACAATGCCGCATCGATATTTGAGAAGCTCATTGTTGTTGAACGTCGAGATGGTTACGGTGATACGATATAGGTGTTTTATTTAGTCCAGCTGATGTTTCCAAATAAACCTTTCAGAAATGATTCGAAACCGATTTGATAATCCATATTTTTTGTCGCTGTTTTTTCTTGTGTCCTAAGAGAACCAAGTGTTGACAATAGTATCATTTGTATAGCATAACTCGTAAACCGAAAGCAATATTCCCGCTTGCTATGAATTTCGCAGCAGTTTTTTTAATAAATTACTTTTCAGAATATTCGGTGAAGTTCCATTTATTATTATCTGATCCCTAAAAAAAATACTGCGTCTTGAATAAAAGAAGGTAAATTAACCATATAACTTCTTCAATAACTTAAAGAAAACAATGGCCGCGAAAGATTTTCCATAAGAGCTGCATTAATTTCAACTTCTTTTATTAAAAATAGAATATTAGTAATTTAATTAGTTTTTTATTAGTAGAGTTATTTATCAACGGTATGATGTTTTATGACTAACCGATAAACAAGTTGAAATCTGAATACAGATGGGATTAAATGTTTTTGCAAAGAAATGACATTATTCGAATTGCAAAGAATGAAATTATTCGCCAAACGAAAGCATATAGTTTTGACGACGCTGCCTTGGTAACAGTGCGTTGCTCTCTTGTGAATAATTTGCCGCGAATACTGTATCAGTCAAATGTATTCCTGATAGTTTCATTTGTCAAAACAAGAAAGGATTGTTGCGCCTGACTCTCGAAATGATGCAGATATGCATCACAGGCGCTTTGTTTGAATTTTCAAGTAATAACATGTTAGTAGGGCAGAAAATGCAATATTTCAATATTACGTAGCTGTGTTCAATAAAGTGAGACAGTATGTGCTTTGTAGGTACACTAGTTAAATTGTAGATTGAATCAAGTTTAGCTATGTTTAAAATTATGTAAAATTAATATCAATTTGATGAATCAAGTCATAACGATTCGTGGAACGACGAGAACGCTGTATGCTAATTCACAACTTTTCATTTTTAGCCCCAAATAAAGGCCTAGAAACGCCTAAATAGTTGATTGCATTATTGTTTCAGAATAATATGTAAGGGCAAGGTGGCTGAGAGCATGTACCGAAGCGGGTACATTCCGGGACCTAAAATTTTATAAATCAGTTGCGTTTGATTATTACGTTTCATAGCTATGTAAACAACACATTCAATCATTATTTAAGTTAGTTCATTATTTAGAACTTTAACTTATGAAATTATTGTGTAGGTACATAATCGTGGCAGAGGTATATCACATTGTTTTATTAGAAAATAACGTGACCTATTTACAACCCTTTGCAATCCTGTATTCGGTATTAATTGAGTGAAAAAAAGTTTCAATTCTCTTTGTCCTGCTCATCTAATTATCTCTCTCTGCTATTATTACGAGTAGCTTTCAGAAGCAATGCTTGTTTTACCTTCGGGGTAAAGACGTTTACAAAAAGACAATCTTCATCTCCTATTACGCGTTCTTGTTCAGGGGAAAACGTAAAATCATACTGTAGACAGGGGCTTCCATATTCTGTTGCATTCCACGTGTCAGGCCATTTCTCATACGGAGCAGATTTCTAAAAATTAAACACAAACTTTAAAACTATCATATATGATTATTTATTTAGTCGAGCAGTATAAATCCGAATAAAAAATAGTAGTGATTGAACTTAACTGACCTCAAAACGATACTTTCCAACGGGAGGTCGTGCATAAGGAATGCCACGAAATGCAGCAAATTGCTTCCCACTCGCCGATTTCATATACGATCCTCTCACGGGGCCGTACACCGTTTGGACCATAGGGGGCGGTTCCGCAGCACTTCCATAAGCGAGAAATATGAACAAACACCAAGAGAACTGCACACCCATGTTGCGCGACATTTGGTTAGCCGTGAAATGCCTTTAGAGCTGCTGGAAACTCTTTATATGAGGGAAGGGGACTACAGTCTAGGGGTCACCCAAGGTCATTGACGGAAATTAATGGGTGCAAGATAATATAAATTAAGTCATAGTTGCCTTTCTCTTGAAATAATACAGATTACTGAGATAATCGAGAACTCCCAGAAATTTCCATCGTCTGAAGCAAAACACGAACTTTTGTTTTTCCTACATCGGGGTTCGCTGACCGCTTCGGGTGACAGATACTTTATTTATCTACTAGCTGAAGTACCCAGCGTAGCCCGGGAATTTATTACAGAAAATTATTAACCAGGAAGAGGAATTCCATTAATTCACATCTTGCGGCGAAGCCTACTTCTCTCCCGTTGTATCCCTGCTCAGCTTCGCCCTGGCCTGCCCCACTCAGCTAGCCCTGTCTTGACTTTGGCCTTATTTGAAAATTTCCAATCTACCTCTCTCACTTTCCCACTAAAAAAAGTTTACATTTTTGTTATTGGAAGTTCCAGCTCCCGAACAGTCATTACTTTATAAAAACAATAAATAAATCTAGACTACAAAATAAAATACTTGTAGATCACGTATAATATTTTTGAAAGTTTTTGTATACTATATCAATACTTTCAATATATTGCAACATTGTAAAACTAACTCTTTTTTTATATTTTTTTCTTCTGTCGTATTCATAAAGAAGGTATAAAATGTATCTCCTGCCAACTCGCGACCTTGAAGGGACTTACTTTTTAAGCGGAGTACAGCATAAGTTTAAAGGGAGATAACACAAAAGTTTCGTCGGTATTTGTTCTGTAGATTCAGGGATAATCGCGCTGCAAATCAACATTCTTCTGTCTTTATGTATTAGTATAGATATAGATGTATTTAATGTAAAAAAAACAGTTAAAATTGTACGTCTAGTATGAGATGTGCTCGGATTCTTGAGCTTTGGGCTCTCTGTTCTAATTTTGCATTGGGAGGAGCATCAATATCTTAATTTTATTAATGAGATCTAAATTAGATTAATTAGATGTCTGTTCTAACGTATACATATTGTTGAATTACGAATATAGGTAGCAAAGAGTGATTTTGGCAAAAAAAGGCACAAAATTTTCACTCCCGTGAAACGTAATCTACATTCAAAGGCAAATGAGCTACAGGTATTGCCTCAGCATCCCAGCATTTGCTCAAATGGTCAGGATTTCAAGCAGCCGAGAAAAAAAGAATGTCGGGTAGCGTTCCCAAAATGTTTGTCCAAAATTTGGTTACTGAATACGTTGCAACGCTCAATGCATTTTATTTGTCGCTAGGATAAAATTAACATTCTATGATAAAAGAAACTGAGACTACTCCAACGTTGTCACTTCGAAAACGAATGATCTAGCGCTAACCAATGGGCGATGATTTGGTTATCAAAATCTGCCCACTAGTTATTTTTCCCTGCCCTAGGGATACTACTTGTATATGAATGCCGGACACTGAGCCGAGTGTGATTGGTAAATTATAATAGTTTATTATTCAAAATGTTTTGGGCGCATGTTGCCATATTACAGATTATTTTTAATGACGCAGGCTAAACTCAGCTCATGGCGATATGATTTTATTCGTTTTAATTAGTTTTTGAAAATATTTTTACTTTCTCGCGGGTAGAGAGAAAGTTTTGTAATGCTGCACGAAAAAGGTGCATTTTCGGCCAAAAACCTCTTAATACAAGGCCCTGGAAACGATAAAGTGGATAAATCCAGTTGTTAAATGCAGAAAAAATCCTTTACCACGTGGTGTAGTCAGAATCCATGTTTTGTATGTCGTAACCAAAAAATTCGAATAATGGCAAAATCGTCTGTCCGTCTGTGAACAACTAGCGGTTAAACCGTTCTGTCGATATGCTGCAAATTTTTATTCCGCAATCGATCTGGCTGATATCGCGGCTCCTTCAATTTGAACCCGATATTCAAAATATCGGGTTCAAATTCAAGAGGGGTAATTTACATGAAATCTCTGGGTCATTTTCAAAATAAAATAAATTAAAAAAAAATAAAGCTCCATTGTTTTTGATTGAAAATGTTAGTGTGAAGGACGTTTAAGAGAATGATACATCTCATGTTTGTTTAAACCCTGATTTTTGGAAAATTGCAGAAGTTCAAAACTTTTCGGAGTCTTCCTACAACTAAAATATTAACAATAGAGATTTTCCCTTAATGTCGTAACCAAAAATTCGAATGATGGTAAAATTGTCTGTCCGTCTGTCTGTGAACAACTAGCGGTTAAACCGTTCTGTCGATATGGTGCTTAATGTAAAATAGTCCTTAAAGATAGATTTTGAAGAAGGTCACGTACAATTTTTCGAAAATTTGACTACTTTTTGCGTAATTTTAGCGTGAAAGTACGGGCGAGAAAGAAGTACTGTTTTAGCACCTTTAACTAGTTTTACTACTAGTAACTCGAAAGTTTCGTGGCAAGTTGATATTAATAGTTAGTGATTGTTTTATTACTGAGAATTTACCTCTCCCCCCGTGGAGCCGCGCCTGTATTAGGTGATAGTTATTATCTAATTTATTAAAAAGTTTGCAAAGCATTCGCAGCGGAACACACAATAAGCACACTAATCGTGGTAAATACGGGATATTTACAGTTTTACCCAGCATTTTAGGGACTTAAAATAATTTTTTGAATAAAGTAAAGTATTATTCATAATGGGCTCAAAATATATATTATATTATATTATATTATGTAAACAAAAGTGAATGTGCGTGTGTCTGTCGCATATAGACGCAAAAACTACTCAGCCGATTTCGCTGAAATTTCCACACTTTGATCTTATTTATACGAGGAATATTTAAAGAGTGGTTTGAATTAAATGGGGGATATTGGGGTGTTAACGATGGCTGAAGCGCCCCTGAACAGAAGCGTAACCTGCTGCATAGTCAAATATTAAACGCGTCTGTGGCTGCATATTCTATCTCTGTGATTACGAAATTGCGGCCAAAATTATTGTATGAACCTTATCTGGGACAAGTAAATCAAATTTCTCCAACACAGTGTCATAGCGAACGCATGCCCAAACTTGGGGAAGAATGTTTTAAATTCAATCAAGTTCAAACCAGGACATAGAACAAATCCATACTCATGAGAAAGTAATGTATTAAAATGGTTGTTTGTGGTCGCTCAAGACCTAGATGTTTATGCGACCATTATAAATAAATTAAAGTTAAAAAAAATTGCAGAGCGTACCGTAAAACGTGATTAACAATCACGTGATAAGTACCGTGTGACTTGTAAGACAATGCAATAGCGAAGCTTAGTCAGGTCCGGTAGTATTAAGTATAAATAGCAATTTGATAACACATAGACTTCGCAATATTCGCAATTTATACGCAATACAAATGAGTAAAATGCTAAAAATTGATAGAGCATCTTTAATTTATTTTTACCATTAATTGCGCATATTTGGTTGTTTGAGAGTGCAAGTTGGCTTACACATTTTAATGTTGATTGAAATTCCTGTCTTTAATCAAAACACAATAGGCAGGGAATCGTTTTAAACTGGTGTCACTATCAAATATCCACTAGACAGAATCTACTCTCATCCTTGTAAGTTTCTTTAACTCACGTTATCAATCGACGTTAAAGAAGTAATATATATATATATATATATATATATATATATATATATATATATATATATATATAGGAACCGTACGAAAATTGTGCCCTTTGTCTATCATTGTTTTAGAAATGGAAAGAGCTTCATATTTAACATAACTTTGAACGACCGGTTTTCAACCTGTTATTCTCTAACGGCCCCCACTTACGTCTTATCGTTCTTGGGCATTGTCGTATCGTTCATGGTGGCATTAATTCACCAATAGCTCGCATCACTTATGGTACATACTGGCACTGTTCCATTATTCGCCGTCTCCGGGCACGCCAACTTCTATGTTCATTAGCCCCGTGCTTGTAAATGTTTTACCGCGAGAGGTGGCAGTATTCCTCTCCCTCTGAATGGTGGGATCCGGCGCCAACAGACACGTCCGCATTCTGGAGGTAATGCCCTCTGGCGGCCAGCTCTAGGCTCTCGACTGGTCTCCCGACACACACGCTAGTTTAGTGCACGCAAGCGTAGTTGCTGTGGAACTCTGTAGCTAGATTTGAAAAATCACGCGTCACACGACGCTGCGGAGAGGCGAACCCTGGAACCTCCCTGTTAGACTCACTACAGTGTTAGCAGCTTTGAGCTCAACTCAGCCGGTTACTGGCACAACAGGAAGAGCTAAGTTCTGAGATAAAATTGTTTAATTATTATTGATTTATGGAATAAGTACTACTAAAGGGCTTCTATTAGCTCTATTAATATTAATAAAGTGTTATACAATAATAAAGTGGCCAATACATAAAATTCGCATTTTTCAATAGGTGTCAGAGTTGCAAGTCATAATATATTAAGGCGAGATAAGTCAATATTCCAAGAATGTTGCTAGGAAATTTATTACGAAACAGAGAGAGAGAGAGAGAGAGAGTTAGATCAATGCTATTAAATTGAATAGATACTAGTCCATTTATAATAGACCGTTTAATTTTCTGTAGCCTTTCTGAAACTCCGTGTTTCTTCCTGTGTGTAGGGGGGGGGTGGTAGTCCCTAGAAGAGTTAAACCTCCAAAAATGTAATAAAGAATCAGCAAGGTCTCAATTTGTAAAGCGCGGTACAAGAATAACTGTGGCCCTTTACAGGGTCAACAAGTGCCGGTTTTAAGAACTCTTCCCACAGCCACATTGTTTCCCATTGCTTGATTATGTCTTCTTTTAACGGGAGGGGGCGGTGTGCTTCCCTCGCCGGAGGGTGAGATCCAGCGTCGGCCTACACGAAGGCTTGCAGCATTTCCCACATCAAGATATCTCCCACATGTGTGGTAGTGCAGTAACATGGTGCATAACAACCAAAATTCAAAATTAATATTTATAGTACAAATATAGACACAACTAGAACATTCCTTTGTAATGAAGAATTATCAAATTTATTAATTTTTTATTTTTCAAATCAATTAAATTTATTTCCAGTTTTGTGTAATCGTGAACGAGGTTTTGTCGCTTCAGCATTTTTTGCTAGTGGTGAAGACTAAATAATTCACAAAAATAATTCACATATGAGTAGATTGTTTTATATAATAAAATAAAATTTATACATCAATTACTGCAAGAGTAATGGAACTTGATTTACAATACTGTTGATACAAACGATAATAATGTTTTTCAACGCTTTGATTTCATTTAAACACTTGCTTTCCTCTTTAAAAAATAAAATTATTTCACAGAAAAGCAATTCTTGCATCCTGATATTAATTTTAACAATGACATTTTATATATAATGTCCCCTTTGGATTGTATAATTCTAAAGAACCTGTAACAAGTATTATACTTCAGCGCCTGGGTCAATGACCTCCACCTCGATCAGGTTTTCATCCAGTTTCCCTTGAGCAAATGCTGTGATGGCCCCTTGTTTTGCTTCTGGACATAATTGTAACTTCAAATTAACTTCTCTCCCATAGCACGTCATCCAGGTTTGAACTGTTTTGACGTAAATAAATAAATAGAAATGACAAACAACAACACATATCAATGTTTATGTTTTAATTCACCTATGTTACAATTTAAAATACAGTAGAAATGAAGTCTTCCTTGGTTAGGACCGTCACAAATGATAATTCTATTACATTATCACCACCACTTAACTTTTAATTCTAAAAAGTGTTGTTTTTACACGTTATTATGAAATTATAGATTGTTCATGATAAAATAATTGCATTTACAACTCCGAAGAATGTGAAAACATTTTGACTTTAAAAGCAATACTCGACGGATCCTGAAGAGGTAATGAGTCCCAGAATTTTCTATTACCTAGCTCTAAAGACGACTTCATTTCGACAGCTGTACTGCTGGAGATACAAAGATAGTTGATTTCCTTGTAGTTTGGGATCAGAGGAAGCCATTCCCCTCCACCAATGCTGGGTGTCGGATTCCTGAAACACACAGGCCTGAATTATAATTTTAGGAAAATCATACCGATTTTGGAAATTTATTTAATTTTTAACAAAATTATTAGTTTGGAAAATAAGTAAATATTGTACATAGCAAAATATTTTTAATTTGCAACATACAAAAATTATTTTCATTAATCGAATACCACGTATTGATCGTACATTTGAAGGATCATTGGAAATGAATAAAATTCTGAAAATGTATTTAATTGACCAAATTCTGAAAGTCAAATATAATCGGACGTTGTTTTATATATTCTACAAACAGAACCCGGCAGACGATGACCTGCTCTCTTTCTTTCCCTCTTGCAGGGTGTTGAACAACAATTTTTACATTCAGTAATATTGAGGCAAGATGCCAACAGTTGAGATTCTCATTAACGAAATTAATGAAATGAGTGAATTAAGAGGGGTATAATTGTACGAATGATATGCTCAAGACAATGAGTGGCAATTGGAGCGAGTTTTCTCTTTGTAAGAATAATTTAAATTTTGAAAAATACAAGCACATCTTTTTAATAAAAATAAATGCGCGCAGATGCGCATTTGTTTCTAAATTGAGTTGCGAGTTTCACTTTGCAGCCCTATTGTGTTTTAACGTATTCATTTATAGATAATTCCTTTTGCTTGCTCTACTCTATTGAATATCTTTACCATTCGAGGCTTTATTTGATGACAATGAATCGCTGCAAAAAAATATTTTAGTAGGTATTGCATTGTGTACTTATGATCACAATAGTGGCAAATTGAAGATATTGAACATATTCCGGAATATATATTCCGAAATATATATTTAAGATAAATAGTTTTGAAGGAGGTCAATGATTATGTAATTGTTGTTCTGTTATTCATTATGATTTATATTGATTTATATAATTAAAATAACGTAGTTGATGAATTTTTAATACTTAAATATTTAGGATTATGTTGTGGTATTAATGTGTTCAATGTCTTGACCGAATTCACTACTTTACAAGTTTCTACATTCCGTGAATGTTTGGCTGGCACGGGAAATACAGTGCTGTATTTTCAGATTTTATAATTTATTTATTATGAATGAAATAAATCATTTAAATGAGCATATCCAATTAATTATTTCTTGACATATACTTTATTCATTGCTTCATAATATAATTTTGGCATATTTCTGTAACACTAAAATAAAAGCATATGACTATCGGGAACACAAAAATAATTAAAACATTATAACCGTATGAAATATGTTTTACGATGTTTTCAAAGATGACCAAAAATTAAACAAAATACTATGCATCTATCAAATTCTGAAAGTCCAGGACTCATTTTGCAAGGGGGTTTGAGACCTCATGGTTATTGAGAATTCTTAATTTAGTGTGTTCATTCTAGACATTACTTCACTCACGTATGAATAGAATTTTTTCTCTCCTTTTAATTGTAGAAGAGGTTCATGTTTATAGAATTGTTAATCGTTTTTTCAACAAAAGTTTGAAACTTGCGAATGCATCTTAAAGGAGAAACACATTATTTGACCTCTACGTTCTGATAAACGACATAAAAATATGGAGTAGATAGGGTATGAACTTTGACTCAGAATGTTGTTTTATTGCTTTGCTGTGACATAGAATTAGTTACGATTCATGTCAGTAATTCAAGAGAGATTGTGAAGCATATGTTACTGTAGAAAAACTATTGCATATTAAATTAAAATTTTTAAGGTTTCAACGTATCAACGTTATAAAAGTACAGTTCCATTTTACTCCCTTCTTGTTAAACAGAAGAGAAAGTTAAGAGACGTATCTAGCAAAAATTCGTTTACTAAATTTAAAGAGCATTAATTCCGAATAGATTAAATAAAAAATGTAAACCTATTTCATTCATCTGTCTGCTACCCAAGAAGTTCGCACATTGAATGATTCGAAAATAGGGGTCTTATCCCTTTTCTTTGCGAGCCGATTCCTCGTAAGATGGCTAAATGATAGCGAAGAAAAATTGGCGCGAACGAGGGTATTCTGTTTATGTAGTTACAGGAATGATATTGGCGGCAATGGCTGCAAATATGGCTTTCTTTCGATTGAGTGCTATTTGTTTTAATAAATAATCAGCATTTAAATTCCTTCAAGACCAGAACATTCTACAAGGAGAGAGAAAAAGTCTTAAAAATGCAGTATTCATAAGCAGATGGTGCCATTCTGCTTTTAGCGACTGTTTCCCTAAGCATCGACAAAACTAGTTGGCAGAGGTATTGTGGAATTATGTAGGTATGAAGTAATTTCTGCTTCCGAATGGGCTTCAAATGCGCCTTCTTAAGCCTCGTTACTGTTTCTATTAAATTCTAGGCTAGTTGGTAAACCGTTCCAAATATCGTTCACTTCTAGATGTGTTAGGATACGATCGTTACCCGAGGAATTGTTTCCACCAACCGTTCCAGAAAGGTGTCCTCAGTAAATCAGAATCGTCAAAAAGTTGTAATTTGAATTATTATTAACACTTAGCTAAGAACAATGCGATTCCGCGGACCCAAAGATCTCACCAGAATATCAACCTTGAGCTACTGGGCATCTTTTGCTGACAGCACCAGATGGTTAGTAAATGCTAATACAGACCCACTCCTTTTCAATAGCCTGTATCCCGACTTGTTTTTCAATTTTTCAAGCAGGTAGTCCATAATGAGATTAAAAGGAAATAAGAAAATTGTTTAACTCCTCTTCCAGTTGGCACCTCAATTCTTTTCTAGAGGTGCAGAGTGGCGGTGGAACGTTAGCGTAAGAGTCCATTACGAAATTCGGGGATCTTTTTCATGAACAGAGCCCACCGAATCGCCGCATTAGGAACTGTGTCGAATGTGTACGTATCTAGCATAGCACTGAAACAAACCCCTGTTTTTTCATGTCAATGCCTGCATCGTGAAGAATTTGGCATCGAGAATGATGCCACCTGCGTTAACGAGGCGGCCAGGTATGGAGTTAAACCCTTCTGGTTGTCGATTGAACTTCCCCACGGATCGAATGCATTTGCCCCTATCGTCCAAAAGATTTTGCACAACAGAAAACCAATCGTGATGGGGCTATAGTTAGTTACAAACTTATTGAACGAATACTCTCTTTTGTGAGGAGGATGGTGAGGTTAGCGTTCCTCCCAGAGGGCACAAAGACACTGTATAGAATTTGATTGTACAGTAGGGACAATTTTTCAATTTTTTCTCTTAAAGATATGTGGCTTTGATCTTATTCTGTCCTGGAGAGTGCCATTTTTCATCCAAGAGAGGCGACTTTTAATTTCAGCGACTTGCACCGCATACAGAATGGTGTTAGGTCCACTTCAGGTGTCCACACTTTATCGCTCTCTCTTAACACGAAAAGCCGAATAGGGGGCAGTGAACCCCGAATGGATTTGTACAGGTCATTAACGTCATCCCAACATTAACCACGCTTGTAGAGCGATGCCCATTCTAATGCACATTGCTAATAGCGCTGGATCATTTTTAAAAAGGTCCTGCGCCTTAACATAAGAGTTATCGCTTTTTAGCGCACTTTCCTCCATGATTACAGGGTCTTTTAAACTGGTGGTCTGGTGGCAGCGGGGCCACCCAAAACCTCCACTAACTTGGCATAGGTCTCGATCAGCATGTTCTGGGATTGAATATTTCTTTTGTTCATTTCCCACCTCAGCAAGCTCTTGATCTACCTTACTTTGATACGTAACCCAGGTTCCTAGCCAAGTTGAAATGTTTTCCTTCCAGTGACGCTTAACTTCTAGTGTAGTCCTGTTAAGACAAGTTCAGTAGTTACATCTGTGGGCGTCATATAAGCTGGGAACTCAATATAATTTTGTTTTCGTCCTAATCGACCAGCGGTGACGGAGCGGCCGTCTCAGTAACATAAAACAGAATCAAAGAGGACGGGCACAACCGTAAGCTTTTAATTAATCCCTGAAACTATTATGGCCTCTTCGTTTAAGGAGGACCCCCATCTGAATTCGGGGAGGCAATGTCTATCACAGCAAGTTACTCAGGGTCACTGCCTGGCGACCAAGATTTTTGGAAGATAATTGTTACAGGCTGTTTCATTATCTCTATCGGCAAAGACGTTTTGGCCCATTAGGATAGTTGTCACAACAAGGGATTACCAGCTTTCTTCCTTTTCTAAAGTTCGACCTTCGATACATGGTGAACTAGTGATGCTATAGAGTGGCACAGACTTTCTCGTACTAGTTAGTTTTCTAATTTCTTTGGTCTGGGCCAACTTCATAATCTTGCCCCATCCTCTTGACAGCTGCCATGTATCGCCGCTCAAAGTACATTTTTTCCAACTGTTCTCAATTTTTCGATTTCCAAATAATAGAACCAAAATTTTGCTTTAAGAATGTTAAAGAAGAGTAAAACCTCATTTGGTGAGGAAATTTCATTGAAAACTTTGAAACCGTTTTTTAGGAAAAATAGTTTTAAGCTCTACTGTAAATGCGCAATTTGAATGTCTTTTTCACAGGAATCTATTGTGTTTTCGAAAAACTTCATTTGAAGTCATTTGCAACACTGTCATTCACAAATGCAATAATGTATACAATTTGCTGGAAATGTGCATTTAATGGCGTGAGATATATTTAAAAATACATTTGTGTAATTTTTTCAGAAAAAACAAATTCACATAGCAAAATTCGAGAAACTTTTAAGACAGTATTTAAAGAACATGTACTCATAAACGCAATAGTGTAAATAAATCGCCGCTAATGTAAATATTAATGGCACAAGAGACAAGTAAAAAACTAGTTTGGTACTTTTGAATAAACAAAACAGTAGAGCAACATATCATTTTTGTCACTTTATGGCGTTCAGTTAGCACTATCCCAACCTAACGTTTACAGAAAAAATTTGGAGCCGTTTTCGAGAAAATTTTGTTTTTGTAATTTTTAAAATTGCATAAACTTCACGTAATATTGCGCGAAAACTAATAAAAATTCAAAAAAACGTATTTGATCTTCATGAAATAAATAATTATGGACAGTAAATTTCATTTGAAGGAAAAATCTTTCTTTATTTTTTTTATATAAGAATCCGCCGAAACTACTTCAAACTTTTATTATTTTCGAAAGTTCAGAGTTAACCGTAAAAAACCGGACCTAAGTCACCTTTATAAGTGTCATTTACTATACTAAAAAAAATAAAGACAAAATTTGGAGTCATTTTTAGGGAAATTTTTAAATGTTTCAGGGTCTTCATGTAAGGTACCCCCAAAAATTAATGAATGTTTTTCATAATCGCAGTTTTGACTCAAGCCAGATCGTCAGATGTTTATTTAGTTTGAAAAAAAGTGAACGCATAGTTTAGGCGCTAGAGTTGTTTACAAACACCAAACGGACAGACAGACGGACGGTGCAAGCGGACAAACGGGTGTTCGGATTGGCGGACGTTTAAAAAAACACTATTTCGGTATCAGGTCTCAAAACGTGTATTTCCTTTGAATTCTCGAAATCAATTTTCCGTAGCAGTACATAACTTTCCCTATATTCCTCCCTATATATGTATGTATACGGGAAAGGAAAAATGGAATTGACAAATATACATTGCTAATACTTTTATTTGCACGGAAATTATGAGCCCTTTTTTGATTAGATGCACATTGCCTCAGTACCGTGGTGAGGAGAATAGTACATGTTATGAATCAAGGCATTTGACAATTCTTTAAAGAATGCCGCTAAAATTTTACCAGCTGTTTAAACAGATGAGCATTGAAAAATATTTTTCTATAAAAATATTCTTCTAGCAATTTCACAGTTATTTTGAATTACATTTCTAAAATATCCGCCATACTTTCTTAATTATATTATTAAGAAGGAAACAACAAATCACATTTTTTAAATTCATTTGATTTGGTTGATTCTGTAGATGTGGGTGGATATCTTTGAAGTCTACTCACCCAGTTTGCACGAAATTCACAAAAACTTTGGTAAGAAATTTGAACAGAGATCTACCTTCTTCAAAATATTCTCTGGCATACAGTGTTGGTTCAACGTATTCTATTTCATTACGAATTACAATTCCTAAAAAATAAATACATTAAATGATAAAAAAATATTGAATCAAAGTAAAATATTTTATTATTTACATTATTTTTGGTTGAAATGGTTTGATAATTTTTTCTATTTGGGTTTTTAATATATTATAACCAATAATTAATGGATCAAGGATACCTGGATTTTCTGGAACATCGTTTTGTAGACTTGCAAGTTTATCTTTTAAACTTTTGTTGGGAATATCATAAAAGTATACAGGAGCTGAGTTAATGGATGCCATCATTCTTGCTGCTCTCTCGGCATCCGCAGTGTACATGCGATCGATCAATAACTGCAATTTTTTGTAATTTACTTTCGTTAAAAATTCGATGTTAAAAATCATACATAAATAAATAATTGCTTACATACTTGCTGATATCCAAGTAATGCGGCTTCCGGAGTGGATGCATTTGCAATGTATTGCTGATAAATATTTTCACTGATTTTCCTGTGCATAGTGGGAGCTACTGTGTGATTGAAATTGAGTACTATTGAAGCAATGTTATGGAAATTTTCATTGAGAAATTGAAAAGCTGACTCGCTTACTGTAAAAAAAAGTTTCATCACACTATTTATATCTGAAAAAAAAGTTGTTGTACTAAAAGTTCAGATACAAATAACCAGGCATTGGAAAAAGGGAAAGAATACTGCTTTAAGGTTGTGGGTCAATATAAATTAAATGGTGTTCCGGAAACACTAGAAGCTTATCGATCACTTACTAAATACCTTATTAAAGAGAAAAATGTGTTTCACAGCTATCAGATAAAGCGTTAGCTGCGTTTTAGTAAACTTTTTTGGGTTCCCGTCATTGTAGAATTTCACGATTGTACTAATAAATGACATTTAACTTCAACTAACTCGCCAAACAATCGCCACACCCCATAAATTAACGATATCTGCATATATTTTACTCCATGAAATGTGACAGCTGTCATTAGCTGATACCACATATTGTAATACAACGTATTATATCCTGGTGCTGGTTGCATATTCTGTGGTTTGTGGTGTTAATATTGCTCTGAAGGCATTTGGAGCTTATTCTGCTCTGTGGTGTTAATGAACAGAAAAGCCAGACGACTGAAGCCATATCATAATTTAGACCTTCCATATAAACTGTAAATTGTTTTTACATTCCAGTTACGTACGTATATACGGAGTAATATAAGTAGTTTAGAAAAACTTACATATGCTGAAGAAAATCGATTTCGATATTTCAACAATAATACACGTTTTGGGGTCCTTTGATACAGAAAATGTGTTTTTTCAAAACGTTTTTTCTCCAATTGAAAAATCTCCTATCCATTTGGTCTGAGTAGAAACCCTGATATTCTGCAAATCCAGCGAGGCACCGTCCCAGCTACGACCGGTCCCCCTTTGTGTGTATTAGGAAGTGAGAATAGAATAATGAAGGGAAAGAAAAATTGCGCACGTTCAGTGACCCGTTTGATAAGAGTTGTTGTACTTGTCGTCGAGGGTTGTACTCAAATACTTTATTTCAGAAACAAAGGACAAAATTAATTTCTTACTGATTTTTTCACCAAAATCCTCAGTTTGGGCAATTTTTTGGTTTCCCGTGTAGTTCCTAAACTAATAGATTGAAGTCTAGTTTGCTCCATTTTATTTCTCGTCGAAAGTACAGTCACATACGTCATTTCGGATAGAAGCGACGAAATTTAATTTTTACGAATTTTTTCACCAAAATCCTTAATTCTGACAATATTTAGTTTCGAGCATATTTCCTAAATTAATAGTCGGATTGAAGTGTGGTTGGCTCCATATAATTTCTCGTCGAGGGTAATACTCTCATACGTGATTTTAGATAGAAGCGACGAAAGTTAAATTTTACGATTTTTTTACCAAAATCCTTAATTCTGACTTTTTTTACGCGTATTTTCTAAAGTAATAGTCGGATTGAAGTCTCGTTTGATCCATTGAATTTCTCGTCGAGATTACTACTCACATACCTGATTTCAGATAGAGGCAACGAAAGTTAATTTTTACGATTTTTATCACCAAAATCCTCATTTTGGTCAATACTTTGTTTCACGCGTATTTCCTAAAGTAATAGTGGGATTGAAGTCTGATTAGCACCATTGAATTTCTCCTCAAGAGTACTACTCACATACGTAATTTTAGATAGAAACGACTAAAGTTAATTTTTACGATGTTTTTCACCAAAATCCTCATTTCGGGCAATATTTTGTTCACACGTATTTCCTACAGTAATAGTCGGATTGAAGTCTGGTTTGCTCTATTGAATTTCTCGTCGGAAGTACTATTCACATACGTAATTTCTGATACAAGCGATGAAAGTTATTTTTACGAATTTTTTCACTAAATCGTCAAGTCGGGGTATTTTTTTCAAGCGTATTTTCTAAACTTAAATTGAATTAAAGACTGGTGAGCTCCACTGAATTTCACGTCAAGACTAGTTTGCACATTCGTGATTTCAGATAGAATCGACATAAGTTAATTTTTACGAATTTTTTCACCGAAATCCTCATGTCGGTCAATATTTTGTTACACGCGTATTTCCTAAACTAATAGTCGGATTAAAGTCTTGTTTGCTCCATTGAATTTATCGTCGAGAGTACTACTCACGTGCGTGATTTCAGATAGAAGCGCCGTAAGTTAATTTTTACGATTTTTATCACCAAAATTGTCATTTTGGTCAATGTTTTGTTACACGCGATTTCCTAAACTAATTGTCCAATTGAAGTCTTGTTTGCTCCATTGAATTTCTTGTAGAGTCTACTAGTCTTATACGTATTTTCAGATAGAAGCGACGAATGTTAATTTTTACGATATTTTTACTAAAATTTTCATTTCGGGCATAATTTTGTATCATGCGTCTCACAAAAATCCTCATTTCGGGCATTATTTTGTATCACGCGTATTTCCTAAACTAATAGTCGGATTGAAGTATGGTTTCCTCCATTAAATTTCTCGTCAGAAGTACTACTTACATACGTAATTTCTGATATAAGCGATTTTAATTTTCTGATACAAGCGAAAGTTAATTTTTACGATTTTTTTCACCAAAATCCTCATTTCGGGCAATATTTTGTTTCAAGCGTACTTCTTAAACGAATAGTCGTATTGAAGTCTACTGTGCCCCTTTGAATTTCTCGTCGACACTACTACTCACATACGTAATTTCATGTAGAAGCGACAAAAGATAATTTTTACGATTTTTTCACCAAAATCCTCATTTCGGGCAATATTTTGTTTCAAGAGTAAATCCTAAACTAATAATCGGATTGAAGTCTGGTTTGCTCCTTTGAATTTCTCGTCGACACTACTACTTAATTCCTTAATTTCAGGTAGAAGCAAAGAAAGTTAATTTTTATGAATTTTTTCACCAAAATGCTCAATTTGGGCAATATTTTGTTCCTATCGTATTTCCTAAACTAACAGTCGGATAGAAGTCTGATGTGCCCCTTTGAATTTCTCGTCGACACTACTACTTACATCCTTAATTTCAGGAAGAAGCGACGAAAGTTAATTTTTACGATTTTCACTAAAATTCTAAATTCGGGGTATATTTTGCTTCACGCATATTTCCTAAAGTAATAGACGAATTGAAGTCTGGTTTGCTCTATTGAATTTCTCGTCGAGAGTACTACTCACATACGTGAATTTAGATAGAAGGAACGAAAGTTAATTTTTACGAATGTTTTCACGAAAATCCTCATTTCGGGCAATAATGTTTCACGCGTATATCCTAAACTAACAGTCGGATTTAAGTCTGGTTTGCTCCTTTGAATTTCTCGTCGACACTACTACTCACATACGTAATTTCAGGTAGAAGCGACGAAAGTTAGTTTTTATAATTTTTTTCCATAATCCTCATTTCGGGCAATATTTTGTTTCAAGCGTAATTCTTAAACTAATAGTCGGATTGAAGTCTTGTTTGCTCCTTTGAATTTCTTGTCGACACTACTACTTACATCCTTTGTTTCAGGAAGAAGCGACGAAAGTTAAATTTTACGAATTTTTATTTTTAAATCCTTAATTCGGGGTATAATAACGAAAGTTAATTATTTTCGAATTTTTTCTCCAATATCCTCAATTCGTTCAATATTTATTTTCAAGCGTATTTCCTAAACTAATAGTCGGATTGAAGTCTGGTGTGCTCCATTGAATTTCTCGTTTAGTCTAATACTCACTTACGTGATTTCAGAATGAAGCGACGAAGTTAATTTTTTACTAATTTGGCACCACTGTTTACGTTTCGAACACAATTATGTTTCTCGCGTATTTCTCAAACTAATAGTCGGATTGATGGCTTGTTTGCTCCATTGAATTTGTCGTCGAGAATTTTACTCACATACGTTTATTCAGATAGAAGCGGCGAGATTACTTGTTTACTGATTTTTTCACCAAAAGTCAATATTCGTTTACATTATGGTTTTTGGCGTATTTCCTAAAGTAATAGTCCAATAGAAGTCTTATTTGCTCCACTGAAATAATCGTCGAAAGTTTTACTCGCATACGTGATTTTAAAATTTATCGACAAAGTTAGTATTTTTCCTTTTATTTCACCAAATTTTATATTTTGGTCACAATTTTGTTTCAGGAGTATTTGCTAACCTAATAGTCAGATTGATGTTTGGTTTGCCATGTTGAATTTGAGTACTGATAACATTTATTCTTCTTATGGAAGTATATTATTCTGAATTTTTGGGAATCGCAGCCTGCTTCAATACATAATTTAACTTTCTACTACTAAAAAATGTATAGATAGGTCTGCATTGAAATGTACTTAATGTTTTTGTCATAGAACGAAAATTTTATATATTAATCTACAATTTTCTTTTTATATATGCTATTGTAATTTTTTTTAATATAAATATGCAACTGATTACCATATATATTGAAAATATTAGCTTTTTTACCTGATAATGGATCAAATCCATTCCCTATAGTTGTACTTGTTACCCAGGGCAAATCTTGAATTGCACCTGCTAGTAAACTTTCTCCTGGATGCCTATTTATAAATGGAGTTTTTCCCATTGTTTCAATGGTGGGTCCAAAAGGGCTTGTAGGAATTGTTCCAATTTCTTTTGAGAAGTAGAGGAACTGTAAAAATAAAGAAATTCTTTTGCATTAGTAAGTTTTCCAATAATCTCAAGTTATGAAGAGAAAAATAAAGCTGAAAAAGAAAAAAAGAAAGAAAGTAAGAAATAAAAAGACAGAATGAATGAAATAAGAAAGAAAGAAAGAAAAAACTCACTTATCTTCAGATGGCTGTGTTATAAAGAAAACATGAGATTTGTACATTATGTGGAAAAATTGACTTATTGTGTAATTATCTTTTTACTTTTGAGTTGATTACATATCTAACACTTTATTTTGGCCCCCCATTACTTGTAAACTATAATTCTCTTCTTTGCGGGCGTTGTGTAATACATTGTAGAAGTATTATTACTACTATACTATGCAGAATAGCAATTGATAAAATTATAATGAAGGTTCTACATGAGTAATCAACATGAATTCTAACACTCTACACCACAAAATATGGATTTTCAAGATCTTCAAAATGGTTCTGATCTGTTAACTTCCTCTTAGTTTCCTCAAGATACTCTCATTCTGGAGGAGGTAACAAACAGTAATCAATCTCCGCGAGTGTATATAGACATCTCTAATAATACAATAATACAATGTACATACTAAATTATACACCTATAATAAATTTGACTTTCTGAATCTTCCTTCACCTTCTAATCCACGGATAAACTTCTCCCTCTGTCTCTCCCTCTCTCTCTCCCTCTCTCTCTCCCTCTCTCTCCCTCTCTCTCCCTCTCTCTCTCCCTCTGTCTTTCTCTCTTTCTCCTTCTCTCTCTTTCTCTCTCTCTTTTTCTCTTTCTTTCTCTCTTTTCTCTTTCTTTCTCTCTTTTCTCTTTCTTTCTCTCTCTTTCTCTTTCTCTCTCTCCTTCTCTCTCTCCTTCTCTCTCTTTCTCTCTCTTTCTTTCTCTCTTTCTCACTCTCTCTTTCTCTCTCTCTTTCTCTCTCTCTCTTTCTCTCTCTCTCTTTCTCTCTCTCTTTCTCCC